ATCTCTCAAGTTACAAAGGGCAAAGAAGGCAGCGGTAAAGGATCCTTTGGGAAGTGAGGGGGCTCGGTTAAGATCCTTCAAGTAGCATGGGTGTCAAAAAGCTTGTTTTTCGTGAGATTGGTATTGCTTAATTAATCTATTCTCTCATGGCTGGAACATTCCAAGGTTCCCCTTTTTAATTGATCAATTCGTTGCTGCCATGCCTTTTAGTGAAACGGAAGAGGTGTTTCAAAATTGGGTTTTCGCGGTAGGCCTTTGCACTAGTATCTTGATTACTTTAACCTTGTTGGGGGCTTGAATGGAAATCTACCCCAGATATTGGCATTGTGTCCACAAGGTTGGCTGTGTGATATTACTCATTTGGTATAAACCCTTCTGAATGATAATTTTCAACGCTCGCAGCCCATGAGATTGCCGACTGTCATTCGGAATACGGCACAGAATACATTATCTCGAACCGATACTCTCTGTGTATAGGTATTAGTAGTAATTATGTCTAGATCTTCAGAATCTAAAAAACGAAGACTTTGACATCCTCTCTTTCTCCTTTTCCGTTTCTACTTCCCTTATCCAATCCCACTTGTCAGCTAGAAACAATTTCTTCGCTGCTTTGTCTACACCGAGTGATCTTCCGCCAGACATAAGATCATCTCTATTCAAGTTTTTAAAATCGAAAAACTTTTCTGGCCTATCGTCTCCTACTGCTTTGCCTCCTACAACAAATGCCTTCTTGTTGCTACCATTTGTTGACGGGCTTGGAATCCAGGTTTGATTTGATCTTTCTGTTTTCCAAAATTGGGATTTAATGCCAATGCCACCATCAATACAATCTTTGATGTAGCTCAGAGCAGGAAGTAATTTACTACGTAAACCACAATGGCCATGATTTTTATCAATTTGATAACTTGGACATTCTCGCAATAATGCAATCAGCTGCTCGATATCACCAGTATATGCTTCGGGCCAGATAAATTCAGGGTCGTCGGGGGAGACTGCTTGAAATGGAATGAGCGAGAGAAGGGTTTTTCTCGTCAGAAACTTGACCATTTCACCGAGCTGAAAGGAATCGCAGGCGGCTGACGAATCATAGCCCAATTTACATTGTCGTGTTCGAGATGTGTATAGAGAAAGGAAATGTGTTTGGAGGGAAGATATAGTCAAAATTATCCGTGATCGACGATATGAAAGCTCAGCTGCAAACAATTAGCTATTTTCTGATTGGTAAATCGTGACCTATCAATCACCTTCTAGACCTTCTGGCAGGTCCCACCAAGCCGCTAGAAAGTCAGAATCTGTCTCTTCATATATTGACCAACGAGATGAACCGCGAAGAATGAGTTCCTTCGTCGCTGCGGACAAGCGCAATGCTTGGTTCGTATGGTAGAATATCAGTATCTTCTGTCGCACAACTTCTTCCGTAGTTTTATCGAGAGTTGGTGGGTATCGGAAGTTTGATAATTTTCCTGTGATGTATCGCCCGATCATAGTCATGCAATCATATCTATCTGCCATAACTACCAAGATTGAAATGTAGAGAAGAGTAATGGACTTGCTAGAATGTGCTATGCCATGAATAATCTTGAGCATATCCTTGAAAACTGTCTCCCTCCCCATGGTCCTCGTTGCATCATCTTCATCTGTTATTTGTATTCGAGGGAGTTCTCCTGCTGGTAGCTCTGAGGGATCTTTGCTCGAAAGGGACAACTCTGCAAACCTGGCGGATATAGCCCGACCTTCTCCAAATGTATCTGAACCAAGAAGATGTTCGAAATATTTCGAGTGTTTCTTCAAAGTGTCAAGGCGGACACGGTAGAATACTCGTGCTGAAGGAAACGGCGATTTTGAGATGCGTAGCTTTTGAATCGTCTCGTTCGGTATCGACTTTGTGCAAGCTTTCGTATTTTCAAAGAGAACTTCGAGGATGACATCTCCGCCAGTTCCAATATTGACTATCTTGTGCTCCGCTCCATCGATCTGTATACACTCCGCCGCTTCTATAGGGGCAGCATCGGTGCTCGTAGCCATGTTTCTTATGTTTTATTGTGAACAGGAAACCTGCACTCCTTAGTATCGCTTTTCTGTCGAATTTGCCAGCACCTGTGCGTTTTGCGGAGGAAGTATTGCTAGAGGTTTGCGATCTGTATCCGCCACCCTGTAATTGTTGTGTATTAGGAATTTCGTCCGAACGTGAATTTTGTTCTTGTAACTTCCATGAGCTACATGAAATAGTTATTTCAAGGATATGGCCAGGCCATTGTTCGAATGTTCGAGGGAGTAATGTGTAATGTAATAGATTTGGGGGAAGGGAAATGTAGTGAGTATGTTTTACCAGAAGATTATCAAAGTTGAGGATGTCTATCACATATATCCGAAGTTCAACCGAAAGCAAACACCAAAATGCGCTTACAGGAAGTTGAACAGTGCTTGGATGTGGGGATGCTAGAAAAGTCTCACTATGTTTTTTGACAGTGATACAGTTCCTTTGCTGCCAATACAAAATAGATATAAGATTCAGAAAAGAACTTGGAAAGACTAAGATTATATGAAAACTATGAGACGTTACATTCAAGCCCAAACACAAGTATTAATCTTCTAACACATTCATCAACATCGTCTTTCTCCTATTCAAACATCTCATGTCTAATTGCTATATCATTTGATACGTTTGGCCACAGCTAATTCATCATTCAGCCATCTTTTTGTGGCTTAAGACCTTTGTGCTCCCCTTTCTATTTTATATTGGTGAGTAATTGCTAGTCAGTCTAGAATGCTGAAGCTTTTTGTTGAGCAACGAACTCTTAATCAAAAGAGTCTCTGAGCTTACATTGAACTACTACCATCTCCATATTGCTATCCTTGAGCTCTCGAAGGCAAGCTTGGCCTTTGAATCTCACTTGTCCTTCAGGTAGGTAATGAAGTGGTGATGAAAGACGCTCGAGCTATCACTGCCCATAACTTCCGAGGAAAAGCCGTGTTCCGAGCTTGTAAAACATCCAAAGTATTTTTGTAAAAGTAAACCAAAGTAAATCAAAGTAAACCCTCTGGAATGCTACCAAGACTATTCCTCAATACAAGTTTAGTTGCACATTCAAGTTGTGGCAATAGATAAGTGTCTAGTTCTGCCATGCAGTGTTTGAAACCATGTTTTCAAGCCAGGAACAAACAGAATTACACAGAGAAAAGATGGTCCTTGATAGGCATTCTGGTATTTGACACCTTTGCAATCCTCGTTAGATAATCTCGTTGCATTCTCGTCAACCAAGACCAAAGTTTCATCAGAGGTTATATTTAGAGGTCGGTGTGTATGACTACATTGACTAATCTGCACAGCTTGCTTCCTCTTCATTACTCCGTACTCTCCAAGGAGAGTGGTACACACTGGGGTCATGCCGATGTTTGGCGACAGTTCTGTTCCTTGCCAGTCTGCGTCTTAAATCTGGATGCATTGACTAGAGGATAAATATGTTTAAAATGCTTGCCTTACATTCTATTTCGAGGAGGTGAACCATCTGGCGAGTTGTCGATGTTCAGTGGATGTATAACGTGGTTCAGATGGCTCTCAATTTCGATGCCTTTTCTTTTGTGCCAGAGTTTGTTTTTTGATGTTATTTATATTATTTGTGATATCGGTGAAGCTTTGTGAGATAAGCTATGATCGTTGACCTGACACGAGAGCGAGAGCCCTCGTGACCGTTTGACACATGTTAGTATTGAGTGATCATTTCTGTATTGGCAGAAGTAACTCTATGGATACATTGGTGTCAATCTTTCATCCATGCAATTGAAAGAATAACACAATGTGAAGCTGCGCTCATGTGGAGAGTCGAATATTCGACAAGTCTTGTATTCGGGGTTTGGGGGTTTCGGGGTCGAGGAGTCGAGGTTCACTGTCTGCTGGTATGCTTTGACGGGTTCATGGGTTGGTCAGGAGACTTGTGCGCTTCTCCAATTTCCATTGTACCCCCACGTCTGCTAGGAGGTTTCGAAAAACGCTCGCGAAAGCTTTATCTATAATTATTGGGGCCAGTTTCAACGTCGCCACATCAGACCAGGAATTTGTGAAGAGGACGATGAAGTTCAAAGGCTCACTCATTGAGGCACATCATCTAGGCCCTCGCATCTTAAGTCAGAGACGCAAGACTCATCATCAGCTTGGTCATTTCTTGCATATTTTCCAAGTCGTCAACAAGCAGGATACAACTTCAGCAAGTATCCACGAGTCATGAGCCTCGTACGGATTGATCGTATCTATCATCAGACTATTGCTCCTTTTCCCGACTTATCATATTCACCGCGATCGATATGTATCCTGGATAACAATCGGTATGTCGGCGATCGTGCCATTCACTGCAGGGCAAAATGAAAGGTATTCAATTTTCTAGGAGTTTTGGTCCGAATATTCGTCTGATACGCTCGCTTGTTCCTCGAAAGAGTACGATAATAATTTTGAGTGATTCCAAGGTCTTCTCGATTCAAAAACTTCATTCTCATTTCCCAACAAAGTTTTTAATCTTCGACAACCGCAACGCGCACCAAGCCAGAAGAAGACCTCTTGCTACCAAGATATTTTATTACCATCAATTCAAAGTTACTTCTTACATTACTACAACTTCCTATAGCCTACAGTAAATACCTACAAGCTCAATTTACACCGCTGAGTCGTTACGTAAAAGCCTCTCCAAGATTCCGAAATACGTACAATCCAATTCAGACTCCTCTCTCCAACCTCGCAAAAATCCATAACAAAGATTTTTTTTTCGAATCAATTTGCACGTTGTTCTGGGCTATATATCAACGTTATCAACACGTCTGATTCACACACGAGGTTCTCTGAATCAGTCTTCAAGCTCAATAACCCCATTCTGACTTATCTTTCGTCTCGTAAGTATCTTTCTTGCCTTTATTTCAGGAGAAAAATTTTCCCAACGGCGTTTCTTATCGTCCTTCCAGTGAGATCACCAAGATTATTATACTAATTAAGCTTCCATAGCAACATCAAGATGTATGTCTATAAGGTTTTTCTCTTGTTCCTAATGTTCGTCCTGACTCTTGCTCAAGGTAAGCTTCCATCTTTCCTATATACAGCTTTGTATGCTTTGAACCACAGCCGTTGACATTGATCTAGATACTGTTTCCTCCTCTGCTGCTTCCGCTGGTGTTCTTACCACCGCCCAAACTATTGCTGGCTCGTTCAGTTCAGACCCAAGCTTCATAGTCGGGACTCTCCCCTATCCCTCTGTATCCACTAGTGCTGGCGGGGTTGTCGACCTGGAACGGGCAAAATCAACCGTATACTCTACTTCAATCGTATACGTCTCCTATACCAACGTCGTCGCTACTACTATTCTGCCACAGAGCACAAGCACTGCCGTAGTTACCCTTAACGTCACTTCTACGGCTTCTCTCACGTCTACAATCTTGTCAACTGAACTCTCTACAACCACTGCCGTCGCGACTACGGCTTTTCTCACGTCTACAATCTTAACAACAGAGATATTTTCAGCCACTGCCATTACAACGATCTCAACTCTATCCATGACTTTCGCTGCTGGTCTGTGCCATCTTTCTTCCCAGGATGCCTTAATTCCATGTACTACTGGCGTTATAGCCTCTGCTACATCATCTGCTCCAACTATATCCCCAGCTTCAATCACTTCCCCCGCAATCCGCAATAGACCTAACGGTCTATTCAGATCTCTGGGGTTCCTAAAGCATCGTGCTGTCGGAGCTAATCACCATGTGAAACGAGATCCGGGTTGCAGTGCATGGCAGGCCTCTATTGTAATCACTGCCTTCTTCATTGCTTTCACCTTAGTCTCGATTCTCTGCTTCGCGACAATTATTCGCGAGAAGAGGGAGGAACCGTCTCGGCTTCATGCCTACAAGTGGTGGGTATATGCCGCGCAAGCTGCTTTCTTGGGATTACTGATTTGGTTGCTTATCTGGTCGGCTATGGCGACGGCTGAAAATGGATGTAATTGATTGGATGGATTTTGGGGTAGGGAGGAGTAGATGGTCTATAATGGGGGCGTAGAGCCTATTTTCTGCATGTCCATTGATGGATTTGATTAATAAATTGCTTTTACTGTATAATTGTGGCCCACAGTTGGTCAGATTCATATTATAGAACGCAATGGATTTCTGCCTTTTAATAAGTCATTTTCAAGCATACAAAGCTCTAGCCCCGCAGCTTTTCCAACACCAAGTCGGTTTTCTCGAGGAATGTGTGTCTTCATCGTGCATTAAAGCTGTGCAGCCTCGTGATTTGTGAAATGGCCAAGTCAAATTTTGGGGAAATGTTCATTCGAGAGAATTATTGCCTACTTTGGATGATATTGCTCTGGTTGTTTGTGATTGACTCGGACAATCAAGGACTCGCTATTTTGCATATCAAATGAGAGTGCAATTTCTCTTTTTTGAATTGGATATTCGGAAGTCTATCTTCAACTTAGTTTTAGCAAGGACTTGAATGAAGACTTCTGGATCTGTTGGATTTTCAACATAAAAGTATATGAAACGACATTGAAATGATTAAAGGCTAATAGTTTAACAAATTAAACGATACTATGCAACTGAATAATTGCAGCTCATCGACTGAAGCTACTATCGTCCCGATACTTCAAGTTCCACTATTTAAATAAAACTACGAATTAAGCTTTTTCGTAACGTTCAATTCATTCAAACATCAAAAGGTTAGATAATTAGTGTGATCTCTTTCAACGAAATAAGTAAACTTGACTACAAGATCAATGTAATTCTCGGTTAATGTATAGTGTAGATATGCACATTCAAGGGGCTATCATCTAAAATTCATGCATATGTAATAAGGATATCTCATCTTACTCTATTTTTTTATACCAAGTAACCTTTCTGAATTGACGTTCATTTTGAGAAATTCACTATCTCGAGAACCTCAAATTTTATAGACTTCCCAAAAATTCGAGTAATCTTAAACGTGACGGATTTTCGAACTTGCCGTTCTGTAAAAATAAAAATAAGGCTGAAAATTTGAAATCTAGAAAGTCTTGGTGTGTCTAGATATCAGATGATATTGTGTCGCTCTCATTATCTCTCATCACATAAACAAATTAGATACCTGATAATTGTCTATCGTCCATATCAAAGCAAGGTAGATTAGAAAATCACAACCCGTACATTCCATGCTCCTAGGTAGATGTTATCCACAATATCATGTTTTCAAAAATACCAAGTCAGCTTCGATGGAAATACTTCATTTCATTCCAGGAAGCTCATTATTATATTAGATATCTTTCATCTGAAGATTTTGACTTTCTTGATTCGTTGTTGCTGGATTTATACAGCATCATTTTCATCCGATGATACAATTACCAATCAAGAATTTGATACTCCTGTCCGCATAAGAGTCTTGACACCCTGAATCACGGAATCATATATGCAATATCCAACAGTCACCCATTTACTTTTTATTTCTCACATCTCGCTCCCTCCTGTTTTGAAGTATATATTCGACATCGCAACGTTTTGGAATGACCAAGTTGACCAACTATAAATAGCACCACGAAAGACGGACATGATGTTGAGGCATATAATCTGGGTCACCAGCGATCAATGTCAACTCCTCATCCATATTGAGGTTTGTTTCTTATTCTAACTTTACATTCCCGATCTAAACAAAATAATTTTGCAGCTCGTAAGTAATAATTTGCTCCGAGTGGCTTGAATGTTATCGATACAATTCATAAAGAGGAGCCTCGACGCGTGATTAAGTAAAGAGGATGACAGCGCGTTAGATACAAAGTTTGTTCACTCTACATTTATATAAACGATGGTTCAGTTCTTCTTCGTATTAGCATATATCCCATATCTATTGGTTTTAGCTTTCGGCGTTCAGAAAACACTTTATAAACACTATAGCAAAGGTAAAGGAATAGAAATGCCGAAATGGTATCAATTACCTACATAGTGGTTAATAGAGAAACCCCCGAAGGAGAATGGGGTTGGATTGGAGAATAGCGAAAGCAGGACGTTGAAGTGAAATAGCAGGCATTCCTACCAAGCCACGCACCAGTTTATGAGCTATCTGTCATCAAATTATCTAAATATTATGATACTTGCTTCAGTATTGAACATACTGATGAACGATTAAGAGATTGAATTATGTTAAAGAAATGAGCTCTCTGTAGGGAACGGTGGTTGTGTTAGGTATAGTCTTAATACGCTAAAATGGATACCCAACAGTTGGTTCATTAGGGTGGGCACGGGCTGGTGCTGACTGGTGGGGACCGCACCGGAACGCGTACGACATGGAGCCGCCACTCGCTTCCCCCCTGTGCCAATATTCAATTTGGTGGGTTACTGCGAATACTGAGTTTCTGATATCTTCTGAAGTATGAGTTCAGATACTTTGAAATCTAATGCAATGGCTTTTTACTACTCGAACAGATGAAAAATAAATTCTGATATCAAGCGATCAAAGAACGAATTTTTTGCGAATTCCAAAAGTTGAAAAGTGTCCCGTCAGTCCATGCACTCACTAGTCGGCTTGGTGGGGACTGTGGTATAGAATAGGAAGTCTATTCATGTAACCCTGCCAGGGCTGCCACACTTCAAGCACCTTAACTTGGATGAGTTAAAATTAGAGGCCGGAAATATAGATATTTCCAGTAGATAGAAGCCATTGGTTTCTATTGGGGGCAGTCTCCAACCCTTCAATCCTCACTTTTTTCGGCCAGATGTATATATACAGTGTGACTATCGAATGAAACCCAGTTATTTACTATGACTAACGTTTCCATGTATGCGGTTTAAGAGTGATTAATTCTTAATGATTCCTAGTCAAATGATTGGGCTGACAGGGCTAGCTGAGTACATACCTTAACCAATCAATTGTATTTGGAAGTAATGTTGTAGCAGATATCTAACACAAATCTTCCTCCAGCCTATCACATTGGTCACCAGGGTCTGACCCGGGAAAGACAGCCTTCTCAGTGCTGCTGCATGCTACTCTCAAGGGTTTTGGATTAATTGTAGCCTTTCTATTCTCTTGCTGCTCCTCTTTCTTTCTCTGTTTTCTCCTCTGCTTTTTCCACTACCTTTTTCTTCTTCTGGCCTGCTCTATCTTCCCTGCCTCGCCATAAATATCGCATATGTCGAACGGTACTGTTCAAGCTACTCCGCTGCAAGGCTGGACAGACTCTCCTGATTACAGGGGCACAATGGATATAGTAATCTCCTGCACTTTTACCATTTTCATCTGCATTTGGTCGGTCTTATGTGTCAATATTGGTCCCTATGGAGAAAGTACATGGGCTAAAATCTACCGGAAACTCAAGTTGGCAGGATTGTGTATTCTCGGACCCGATTTTTTACTGCTACTTACTATCGGACAATGGGAGTCAGCAAGCAAGTCTTGTCGTAAATTCAAGGAACGAGGGATTGAGAATTGGTCAATGAGACATTCATTCTATGCTGATATGGGAGGTTTCGTTATACAAACAGGAGATGGAGTCACTTGGCCGTTGGATGCGAACGAAATTCTTTATTTAATCGACAAAGAATGGATTAAGGAGCCCGTTATTTCAACTCAGTTTCTTCTCGATAAAAACGAAATTGACGACAGAAATAAACAGGGGATACTGTTGCGAGTCTCTACCATAGTACAAGTACTGTGGTTCCTAATGAATTGTATCGCTCGAAAATTGCAGCATCTTGCTATCACAACGTTGGAGCTTACAACAGTCGGGTTCATAATCACGACGATTGGCGTTTTCATATTCTGGTTCGACAAGCCTGCCGATGTCGAAACACGGAGAATCATCATTGTCAGTTTTACAATATCAGAAATACACGCGGGAGCAGGTCAAGAACATATAGATTGGTACGATACACCGCTTGATTTCTTGAAAGCCGAGCGATCATATTACGAGGTTGCTTGGCGATATTGTTTGAACATACTATCTGCAATGTTCATGATGAACAAAGATCAAGTACGACCTATCAAGTGGCGGCGTGATGATATTTTTCCAGCTACATCCATTACCGGTATAGCAATAATTGCTTTCTTTGGAATCTTGTCATGGGGAACTAATTTCATCGCTTGGAATTCAGTCTTTCCCACCATCTTCGAAAAGCAAGCATGGAGGGTATGCTCGTCAATACTGTCAGCTGTTGTCATATTTGGTGAAACATATCACAGAATATTACTCAAATATTTCCCAGATATGAAAAATAGAGCATGCGATCGATTCGCGAGCAGAAAATCGAGCACTGCACTTTACGATCCCAAGCTTTCTCCGAAAAAGCCATTTTTCGAAAGATTAAAGGGACGAAAAGACCAACTTGTTCTCAAATTCTCGAATATTTCTCCGAATCAAGATCCATCATTAACAATGCAGTTAAGGGTGCTCTTACCAGCTCTGTTTTGTGGTGCTGCATACATTATCGCACGGGGATTTCTTCTGGTGGAAGACATAATTGCTTTCCGTGGTCAGGATCCCGATATCTACAAGACTTTAAATTGGGTGGAATTCTTTCCACATATCTAATACATTATCTGTTGGGAAGTGGAAGAGGGCATAGAACGTGAGAGTTACAACCTATACTGGTGCTCGGGCCATAGACCTGCGCAATTAGAAAGATTAGAGAAGCTCCATTAGAAGTTGGAAAAGCTAGAGTTGCAGGGGAAGGTAAAGAAGAAGCCAATAAATCTCACCCTCTTTGCATTACATTCAAATTGAGTAGTCATTTGATATTCAACTAATTAATGATTCTAATAGTCCAGAAGATCGCTTAATTGGGGTGTGGGAAATGAGGGAGTGTTTAGGATGGGGTGTTTTAACTTACATCTAGCGAGGATTATGACTATCTTTCAAGCAAACTTGAGCTTGACTACACAATCGAAAAACTCGTTTACTGCCCTCTGCGCGAAATGACCCTCTCTTTGTTTATAGAACTTAGAGAGAGAATGATGATGACTTGAGTAATATTTAAGAGGCCTTTTTAACCTATAATTGATTTCCGATAACTAGGCGTTGAAAAAAAGAACTTTGAAATAATAAGCTCTATGCACTGTACATACAACTTTATAGACTGAGAATTATCATTCTGTCTGAGCAGGAACAATCAGATCCTTTAGTGTTTTCACAGGGTGTCTTTATGATCTTAATATGTATACATATCTGCATGAGCCTAAGTCGTGCATCAATAAGACCGGTCGAGGCCTTAGAAGCGTGATTGATAACTGTAACGCGAAGCAGAGACTAGTCTACGCCAGGGGAAAATCACGATGAAATAATTTGGGTCCGGGAGTGTATCGCCAAGCACTTGCTCAGAGTTCAAAAGGTTATGATACGACTACATCAAAATGGAAAAGAAGATAATCTGGTATCGCTCATATCCACCCTTGTGAGCAAGAGAGTTCCGCCAAAACATTTGAATCCTCATTCAAAAACGCGATAACGAGGCGCCGTCGCATGCCAAAAGCAACTTCCACCAACATAGAGCTCAATAGCCTCAAAATACATAGAGAGCTCATGAGAAATCGCTCGCTTCAAGCGCTCTTCCTTGAGTCTGGCAGCTTTGCTTTCTTCCTCGACTATCAACCCGAGAAGCAATGATTTCGCAGCATCAGGTGATATATTATGCTGTTTGATTAGTACACTCACTCCGTTCCTGATCCGATCCGTAGTCTGGTTTTTCTCAACATTCCAGCTGAAATAGTCATTTGTGAGGCCAAGTATGTTTCCCATTGTAAAGTCATATTGCTTTATTGACTCATAATCAGCGTCATTAAGCGCAATTCCCATTCCCCAGCGAATGAAGTAAGATGATATCCTGCGCCAACCTGCAGTATTAGCAGATATTCTTGTAAAGGTCTCGATTCTCGAGTACTTGCCAATAGCCGCAGTTTGCGACTCTATAAGGCATATACTCCTCCATTCGATCAAAGTCGTCATCTCGAATATCGAAATTCGCAAGATAATCCTGCAGGGTTTCGATCATTCTGGGCGCCTTGTCTGGATCTAAATCGATTGCTTTGCGCAATACAGTCGCTAGTGCGCTTTGTCGCACGTTCTTTGAAGTGAAATCTGAAGGCTGCACGTCGATTTTCAGTACTTCGGCAAGCGCACTATGTTCTCTACATGCCTACGTACCCTTCAGTGAACGATCTCACTGCCCAATATACAATCTCAGCTTACCGCGCCATGATCTAGTTCTTCTGTTACATCTTGTGAACTATTAGGATTTTTTCTATCTATGTTTATTCATAATCAGGTGTAACGTACCATCATGTATCCACATCACCTCGATTATACTAGCAAGCAAAACCAGTCTTTCGACTTCGGCAGAGCAATGACATATCGAGAATGGATCTCCATGGGCATTGGAGTGCCGGATGAGCGCGCGACGTCTCTCTCTCGAGCCAGGCCGGGAAGCCTCTTGAGCAACCGCCGACAGAGCACATTCAACATCCGTAGCACCCACACTTATAGCAGCGGGATAGCGAGAGAAAAAGCCGGGAACTTTTTTGGCATCAATAACTTGGCATGTAGAATAAATATCCATGACTTGCATGTTGGAGCTGCGCATGCCAAGAGGTTTGTGAAGTCAAACGTGTCGTGAGACTACCAGTTCTGAAAATTAAGATAGGGTGATGGCCCTACTTTTATTTGTCCTTCCTTGGCTGTGATTAGTGGTAGAACCAGGGATTTCTCAGCCGTGCAGGAAGAACAGATTAGCGATTGCCAGAAAAGCGATGACCGACAATGTGGGATAATGCAATGCAACGCAGAGCCACGACAAGCAAATAGATCAATTATTAGTATGCAACGAGTGAATAGGTTGGTTCAAATAATACTATAATAGTATAAATCATAGTGCTATTATCACAAGTTCGTGGCGTGGTTACGTGGATGCCTTAGGCATCAACATCCTATGTAGTCGGTGTCCCTTCGCCTCCTTCTATTCTCTTTGGAGTATATCACAAATCTTACCTAACACGTAGTCTATTTCATCTTGCTCTACCGATACCGATTCGGATCCGTGTCCCGACCCTTCACTAATCCCAGCATTTCTCATGTTAAATCTTCTCACCATCTCCTCACCCAGGCACTTCACCCTCCAAGCTCTTCACGCCACATATCACACCTCTTCGTCTTCGTCTTCCCCTTCCTCTTCCTCTTCCGATCCCGATCCCGATCCATGATCAGACCCCTCAATAATCCCATAACTCTCCACATTCAATCAATTTACCACTTCTTCGCCCACCTTCACGTTCCAGGCTCTCCACGCCGCATACCTCTCCTCATCCGTAGCATCATCGGTGCTCCTAAGAACCTGCTCATAATAAGCATCCAAGTCTTGTAAAATTTCACTAGTTTGGTGTAGCCAGCTCAAGCTCGAGGCCTCGTTCAACTTCCGAAACTCTATGCTTTCCTCCCCACGCGATTCTTTCAACCTTTGCAGTGCATCTCTGGCCAGTTCCTCTGCTTTCTCCCTTTTTCCAAGATACCTCAACATCTTGGCATATTCTAGCTGTACACCGAGTAGAGTCCGATGATCGCTCTTCAGAAGTTGTGCACACAGCAGCCAAAGTCTTTTGAAAACTTGTTCAGCCTCATCGAATCTATTCAAGTTCTGAAAAGCTGTGGCAACCGGAAGCGTTGCAAAAATGAGGCGGAAAGGATCCCTGCTATGGTATTGCTCTACCAGCTTCAATTTATATCGAATCAAAGCCAGACAATCGTCACATCTATGGAGATTTCGAAGTGTGGATTCCAGGTCGAATGTCAATTCGATGGGGTCGCCGTTGAGAATAGTCCAGCTGTTCATGAAACTTAAGATTTCTGTACAGAGCTTATTTGCTTCTTCCGTCTGGGTCGTTTTTTCCAAAAGTTCTGCTAACTTAATCTTGCTTTTCAAAGTCGTAGCATGGGCTTCTCCTGAGAGTTTCACCTGCAGGTCAATCAGCGTCCGATACAACTGTTCTGCTCTATCAGTGATGCCGAGTTCCATGAGTGTTTTCGCCACTTCAAACAGAGATTCAAGAGTATGGGATCACCATCTCCCTTATTCTCTTTGTTGTAGTCAAGAATTTCACGCTGTAGCCTCAGAGCTTTTCCCTATAATCGTAAATGTTTAGCTGGTTTTCATCTTGATTTGCAGGAGAAAATAGTCTGATACTTTGAGAGAATTGAAGCATGGAATATGAAAATCTAGTTCTAGCGCTGTTGCTACACACGCCACATCTTGTTACAGATCAACATTTAAAAACAGTAACTTACACGTTCGCCAATTTCTTTAAGCCGTCGGCTAAGTATGCCCTTACTTTGAAGTGTTTGCTCATGTTCTTCTCCATACATTCTCGAGTGTAATTTATAAAGCTGTGTACTGGTTGACAGTGCTTCTTCTTTCATACCTCGCCTGCTCAACATATCTTGCATTTTCTCCTTGAAAGCCAACGAACTCTGTTAAGTGTCTTCCCAGTGGAAGTTCTTTTGTCGCTCAAACAAGCGTCTACATATGACTTTGGCTTTCTCATAATAACCCATGAAATCAAGACCTGTGCACATTAACCATTCACTTGAATAAAAACTTTCATACATAGATCGCTTGTTCGAGAACTCATCATAGGAACCTTCAACGGCATTTGGTGTAGTAACATATCCGATGTTCTCTTCATGTGCATTGGCGTGAAAGAAATCCATAACCGGGAAATTTATCATCACCTGACCAGCAATCATTTCAGCTACCAAGACGGTGTACTCTTCACAAAGTGTGTCTTCGGTTCGAAGGCGAATCCAATCCTTTACCAGAGGATGAAGAGATATATGGTATTCGCCATTGGTAGAAGCATAAAAGCTTTGTATGAGAGACAGGCTCTCTAAAATTTGCAATGCATCGGCAAATGCATCTCTATCCCATACACCCGCTTCTCTCTGGCAGAAGGCAAAACCTGGATATTTATAACTCCAGGGGGGCTCATGACCTCATATATGTAGAGAAAAGCTCCTCGGAGATATCAAGAGGGTCAAAGAATGCGAGAATTGTCAGGAGTTGGTCGAGATCTGTCGAATCATGTTGAGCTTTGAGTTCGTCAAAGGACAGCTCCCAGGTGGTAAACACATTGAAGGCCGTTTCTTTTTCGAATTCGCTCAAAAGCTTGGTATATTTGTTCATAGGGATTTTGTACTTCAAAATTTCTTCCCGGCGTCGAGAGTAATGAGATACAAAGCTTGAAAAATCAAGCTTCAAATTTTTGATATATGTCGCAGCTTGAGTAACAGCGAACGCATGATATCCAAGCCTCTTCACAATATTCAGTCCATTTATTTTGTTGGCTTCATTTTCTTCTGTGCCGCTCTGTTGATACAAGAGCTGCAGAGCTTCTTTGTCGGGCAGACCCAACAGCTCAATGGCTGCGGCGGTGTCTTCCACTAGCGCGTCGACATCCTTGTGCCGTGTAGTCACCAAAACTGATCCGTGGACACTGTGCGGTATGTAGTCTTCAAGAGACAATGTATCAGGCGTATCGTAATTGTCAAAAGTAATTAGCCACCTGAAATTCCACGTGCGAATGGCATTTTTGACGAAATCTAGTTTCGTGTCACCACTACCACAGTCATTTCCAGGCCCCTTGATCCTAGCATAGATTGTTTCAAAACTCCGGATAACCGAACTCTCAGAGCTCGCATCGACCCAGAACACGGCCTTGAATTTGTTTCTCGAGATATGGCAGTATTCGAGCGCGATTTGTGTCTTGCCTTGTCCTCCTAGGCCGCGCAAAACAACGATCCCTGCCTTTGAAGAAGAGCTTCTCGAATGCGCAGAGTCAATCCTTGCTGACATCTCTCCTCGGCCTATCAAATGAGGGATCTTGCGACCTGTAGGAACCTCGAAGTAAGAGGGAAGTATTGTCAAGGGTTGAATGGAGACGAGAGGATTTATATGCTCATACAACTTTCGTAATACTCTCGAATCCTGGAGACTGCCCCATCTGTAGCAATTTTCGTCTTCCGAAGTGACTTCGGTCAAAAGTTTACTCCCTGGTGATCAAAGCAGTTAGCAGATTGAATCTGGTATGAAATGTAAACACACATCCATAACGACTTTGCTAGATCTCCAAAGGGCTGATACCTTTTTTCTTCTTCAAGAGGTGGGTTGAACTCACAATCATCCAACTTGGGTAAATTGCGCATTAACCTTTCAAGCGTAGAATAAGAAAGGTAGCATGCTGCTGTCGCTTGAAACTTGAGAATACAAGTATAAAGCTTGATGACCCTCAATTCAAGTTGTATATCGAGATCTCCTGCGACGGCAGTGTTCAAATAAACACTCTCTACTTCGGTGTATCGAGCTATGATATCTGATAGCTTTTCTAGTCCCTCGAGAAGTGCTTCATTTTGTTCGAAATCATTTGAAGCAAGCTTAATTCTATCGTCAGTAACCAATCAAACAATCGAAGTAAACTGAAAGAAATTCTTCTTGGTTAGTATGTAAGATGCAACTTCGCTTCTTATGAGTATCTGAAATACCATAAATATATCCGTATTTGTAACATAAACACCTGAAAGCTCAGGTCCTGCATGCTGCAAGCTTAGAATGCAGCACCGAAGATGAAATTTGCTGTCATAAATGTTGATAAACTGCCGGATTACACTAAGCAAAAGGGATACACCATCCCAAGGAAAACCGGCATGTATTGGATCAATACTCGCAAGAGCTGCCCCGAATTCTTTGACCTTCTTAAAAGCCTCCATAATTCTTTTTACCTGATCCTTGACTTTGAGTGACTTTCCGGAGATCTTGATGCTCCATTGCTTTGATTCCAAAATTTCCTGTTTCTTTTGAACTATGGTCGCCACTTGTTCTTGTTTTTCTAAAGTATTAGGATTAGTATCGAGAAGCAATGATTCGTATGTTTCCATCAGATCGGGACTATTCTTCAATAAGGACGTGTACGCCCGACTTCAAGTGTTTCCCCAGATTTTGAGGTCGGCGTCTGGGTGATTGGAGTGGGCGTTGTGGATTGTAGAGCAAAACGATACAAAGGCTGTGGTGTACTATCTAGTATTGTGGATATCAACCTAGCGATGGTTCGTTTGGGGGTTTCCTAGAGACCAGATTAGTACAGCAAGACTGTGTCGATAGAACACTGCATACTACCTTTGGAGCAGGCTCGCCATTGCCAATCGAATCATTGGTTTGTTTTTTCCCTGTTCCTCTCCGCAGGCCCTTGAAGAATCGGCCTTTGAAATCTATAATGAAGCTGCTTTTCGAGTTGAAAGCTGATTTGGACGGCCAAAGTTCATGCAGGTCATTGAGCTACTTCGACGGATCTTGAAGTTGTTTTGAATGATGTTGATTCAGAGTGCTGACGGATGGTTAACACAATATTTGGGCAAGCGGGGTGCATACATACCTAGTAGATATATGCTAGCTTACTGGTGCAGCCTCAAAACCTGTGATTCGGCCAATTCTGCATGAGATTCCCTCTCAAATCCACGACGCCACGTCATTTCTCAATATCAAATTATCCTCCCCCATTGTGGTTGTTAACCAAATCGGTCGCGCCTTGTCAGGACGAAAAGCATCAGAACACCAAATCAACTTAAATTAAGAACCCTTCAAGAACATCTTTATTCGAAAGCATATAGATCTTGCTTCATAGAACGATGAACGGATTTGGTACATAATTCTAAAAGAGAATGATATTTTGACGTCTCGCTCTAACGAATCGCGTCCACTGATGCACAATAGAAGTAGGAAACAAGACCCAGATCACCATTCAGCTCACATGATAATTAATTATTAAGCGCTAATAATCACACACCCTAAGGCACCCTAAAGAACCAACAACATCAAGACTCTTGCGCGACAGTCAGAAAAAAACCGCAAGATTGAAACAAAAATGTTGGGGAAATAATAAGAAAGATTAATGTCATTTGTTGAACATCGTCAGTACAGTAGAAGTTGGTCAAATAATATTGTCATATTGTTTTAACATTGAATTTTGGTCAAGGTGTATAATTTCATGTTCGGCTTTTTCGATCTATGACGGGACTCTGGAAAAACACTATTAGTTTAAACTAATACGACGATGTATAAGAATATTATTACAACTTGAATCGGAGCAATATTATAAACTCTAAGCTTTTCAATATTCGAAATCACCTTGCAATCAAGAATAAACAACAACCTAGCTTGATGACGAATTGTGAAAATGAGATAGTATTTTGTGATGTGTCCTTATTTTCGTTCTCGGTCAGCCAGATACTGGGAGGTTTCTACCCAAGTCTCCAAGAACAATAGAATACAATCCATATTCCAACCGTTCTGTGTACATTTAAATTACCACTCCCATAACTCACAATCATCTAACACCGATCCCAACTCCCCATCGCATATCTGAACTCAGATTGAGGCGGTCTTGATAATAGCATACATCTTCTTCCCCGAATATTGAACTCGAATCTAAAAATCCTCAAACCTACAAAACTATAAACTACCAAAAGCATTCGAAGCATCACCCACGAAACCCAATCCATATTCTTATACCCAATTGTTCATTCATCCATTCATGTATATGTAAGACTAGGAAAGAGTAAGAATAGATATCTTCCATCAACTCAGTCTCAATCTCAATCTCAATCTCAAAAGCACCATGCACCGCTTACTAACCAACCATTCAAACCTCTTTCTCTTCTTCCCCTTAATCTCCCTCCCGAGCCACCAATCTCGTAGAGTATATATACTGAATACAACACGCAACACACAACACACATCAAAACCCCTCAACACTTCAAACTTTCAAAGGCCAAGGGTCTATGACAACTTCATATTGGTATTCAAGCACATTTTCCAGATATAGATAGCTAACTATTTGCGTATGTATATACTGCAGCGATGATGCCATTACTCCAAATGAAGTAGGTAGCAATATGTCTTTGCACTTTTCTGTCCTTCTTCTTCTTCTTCTTCTTCATCATCATCATCATCCATGCAGCCGTCCATCCAACTAGCATATTCCACTTCATTTTCTTCCCTGAAATCTCATAAAACCATTCTTCACCCCACTCAACCACAAACTACCATTTTCTCCTCCCTCCCCCTCCCTCACAAATCCTTACCCCAAGAATATCTCACACCCCATCACCCTTCCCAAGCAAAACCAGATTAGCCACATTCATCGCCGCCATAATTGTCCAAATAACTCCCGCCACAGCTGCCGTAATCCAATGATTTCTCATTTTTGTTCCTTCGCCCATTTCAGCCCCCAAACCCGCGCCTTCATGCTCATACACACTTTCACTCTCCATGGCCGCATCCGCATTTCCCCTTCCATTCTCATCATCATTTACGAAAGCAATTGGCCTCCCCTGACATCTCACCGTCATATACTTATTACGACAAGTGAAATAGATAAGCGGTGCGGTAACAAATGGAAGAACAATACTAAGAGCTACTTGACTAGCGTTCAAAGCAGTTGATAGACCTTCACGGCCAACAGCTCCGGCAATGATAATACTAGGTGTGATACTAAGACTTCTTGTTACAAGACGTCGTAACCAAGGTCTGATAGTCCAGTTTAATGCACCTTCTGAAACCATTTGTCCGGCGATGGTACAAACAATGCCAGCACTCGTGCCCGATAATAATAGAGCCAGAGCAAAAATGGTTCCAGCACCTTTCGAAATACTCGACACGAGTAAATCATAAATACCGAAAAGATCAGCCTCTGGAGCAGCAGGGTTATTGTAGAGGGCTGATCCAGCTACGATGAGAATCGCGGAATTGACAAAGAGGGCGAAAGTGAAGAGACAAATTGCTAGCTCGGCGTAGGAGTATTTGAGACAGAATTTGATGGCGGGAAGAGAGGGGTAGTATGGTTCCTTGGTACCTAGATCGAAATCTTTTTTGACAATATTATTGTCCTTGTCATAAGCGAGGAGTCGTGGTTGGACAATGCCACTTCCTAGATAGAGACTGTGGGGCATGACAGTTGCTCCTAAAATACCACATGCTTGGTAAAGTCTAACGTGCGTTAGTAGGAGTTTAAATAAGTGGAATGACAAGTACTTACCCCTTTTGTTCTACAATTGCTTTGGACGGCAAGTATCCCTTGAAAACTTCTCCTACCGGAGTATCTTTGATAAGTGACAATTGAATGCAAAAGCAAACAACAACACCCAACACCAATGCCGCCACAAATATTTCAAAATATCTCAATCTCCTCATTTCACCATTTCCAGGATAAAATACAAGAAGAATCAAAACATCAAGGATCGACAAAGCACAACCAGCAACCAAGGGTATTTGAGGTATTAAAAGATTGATAGCAATAGCTGTACCAATCACCTCTGCAATATCTGTAGCGATAATCTATCATTGGTCAGTCAAGATGTAAAAGGAAAAAGGAGAGAAAAGCTCATACTGCACCCTCAGCCAAGATGTACAAGGCATAATTCATCCATTTTGGCAAGAAAGCTCTACAAGCCTCCGCCAAATTCAATCCACTAACAGTACCCAACTTGATGCAAAGACTTTGCAAAAAGATGGCAAAGACATTTGACATCAACACAATAAACAACAACTTGAATCGATAAGTTGCACCTGCAGCAACATCTGTCGCATAATTTCCCGGATCAATATATGCCACCGCCACCTATAAACATCCATTATTAATATAAATGAAGTCCAATCTTTGACATTGTGATTTCAATTTTGACATTGGTGGAGAGGTGGCAAATTACGTACCATGAAGCCCGGACCCACGAATTTTGCAAATTTGACCATGACTTGCTTCATTTTCACGAGTTGTTCTTTCGAGACATGGAGACAACTTCTTCCATAGCCTGCTCCCCTTCTACTTCTCGATTGATCTCTGATATCGAGAGTTTCAACAGAAGGTTCAACCACGTGACCACTCTTCCCGTCTCCACCGCCTCTCCCTCCATCTCCACCGCCCCTATCCCCCCAGCCCCCCCTCCAACACCCTTCACACTCCCCGTCGCCTTCCCATCTCCAGTATCCTCCACCAGATCATGAATCGACTCTACGCCTTCATCCTCCAAACTTCTCCTCAATGCTCTTCCGTTTGCTCGACCGTTCAAATCTTCTCGGGTGGTAAGATCATTTGCCAAGGCGTTTGGATTCTGATTATATCCATCGCCTTCCAACGGCTCATCTGTTCTCGAAGGACAATTCATGATGATTCGCTTTGACTTTTGAATGTCTTATGTAGTGTTACTTTACTATATTGACGAGACGAATGTCAAATAGTAGTACAGGTAAAGAAGCGATCTGCTTTCCCTTCTTCGTTAAAAATGTCGCTAGGTATATGCGTCACCTGGTCGTATGTTTTGAGTTTCGTATTCTGTGGGTAAAGAGTTGCGTTTGTCGTACGCCAGCCTCAAATGGATTGAATTTATGATCAATTAATGAAATCAATGAAATCAATCAATCAATCAATCAATCAATCAGTCAAATCAACACAATCAAATTTTATTCAGTCCCATCCGAGAAAAATAATAAGATTTCAAGATCGGTGTATAAAACACAAAGTCAAACTTTCACTCATCGATACAAAGTTCAAAGTTCAAGATGACAAAGTAAGTATGAAAGTAAATGTAGAATAAAAATCGACACTCCAATAAATCCGGGGAACGAAAGATCTAAAGTGCATGTAGGTACGCATCTATCTATATACCGACAGAATGGCATCCATGATCCATCCACTCCTCTTTCCCACCAACCTAAAGAGAAGCTACTAGGTAATAACAAAAGCCCATGTTTACAACTTTACGATTTTTCCCCATAAAAACTCAAGTTTCCAATCATCCCATTGGTTTCCATCCTATGAAAATTCAGGCCCAACAAGGTACAAGACAATACCGAGTTCCTCCCCAATTCTAGAAGGGCTACGACTTTTCCCGATCTTTGTTGTTAATTGCTTGTTTTCGGAACGTTATGTTATGCCATGCTAATTCAATGCGTGGTCTTCCAATTCGATCATTTAGATGTGTAAGATCTTCAAATTAAGTGATTAGGGTAGGTATCATACTTTATCGATGACAATAGACACGTAGAGGAAATCCGACTCCTCATGAAGGATATCTAGTACATACCTAGGGACTCATATAAAAACAGCACTGAACACAATATATACATACATATATATACATACCAGGTATATTAGATACATCTCTATGCTCTTTCTACTCTCTATATCATTCAAAAAGACACCTACCTATATCAATTCCATCCCATCCCATCCCATCCAAGACCATGAATGCAATGCAAGAAAGATCCTCGGATCCGACTGGGAAAGTGCATAAATGTAAATGAAAATGGATCTCAAGTAGGTAATCACACATGTTAAAAACCATGGTGATTATTACGCTGCTATTTCTACCTTCATCACCATCTCGTTACTTCTCACTCCTCACTAGGTAGTAAGGATGATCTCATTGATTCATCCATTGATTCATCCATTCATCCATCCATCTACCCATCATCCATTTCCATCACTAGCTATCAAAATCACCTACTACTTACTACTAAAATCACCGACTACTAAAACCACCCACTACTAACCCATCCATCCATCCATCCATCCATCCATCCATCAACCCAAAAAGGCAACCCACTATCTTTAAACACCCCTCTCAAGCAAAAGCAAAACTCCCAATCAGTCACATATAAATCACCTAGGTCTCATCATCCAAACCCCTTTCACCACTCACCTCCACCTCCACCCACTACCCTCCACCCAAGGAAACAACCGGACAAACACCACACAACACACCAAAAACTACACACACCGTACGATAACCGAACCCCACCAAGCCCGGCACATCTCTTCCCCAACCCGAGGCTAAGCAACCAAACCAGACCAAACACCAACGAGCGAACTAATAACACGAACTAACCCATCATACTCCTGAATTGATCGCGGGGAAATCTCCCGCTACCTCCCTCTACCTTATCGTAGAAATTCGATTTTTTTTTTTCTAAGCGGGGGCTTTCCTTTCTATCTCGTCTTCCTTTACTACATTTATTTCCGGACGTACACATAGCCTAGGCTGTGGGGCAAGTAAGGTGCAGGAGCTACCCATTTACCTACCTAACTACAGAGTAATTCTTTCGAGTTATCGAGGCTTTTTGGGGATTCAATTAAATGTAGGTATAGTTGTATAGGTGTATAGGTATATTAATACTAGGTAGGGACTTAAATCAGACCGTGCTATTACCACAGCTATCTTTCTATCCCCTCGAGAAAATAAATTAACATGATACTAGATACTTGGTTGGTATATGACTGATTGCTACCTAATTGCCTATCGCATTGCATCAAAAAATATATCTTGCATCAAATCAAAAAGGTCTCGATTCACAAATCAAACCCAATGGTCAGACGAAATATGCAAAGTATCTCACCCCCACACAACCATATAGTATGTAAATCATTCAGAGAATCCCCAATGAGATTGAAGAAGCGTGCCCATCCTCCCTTTTGAGGAGACACTGAAAAAACGCCTGGTGATCCATGCAACGCCATGCAAAATATTATTCTGCAATTGCCCTATCCATGAAACCAATATTTCTTTCTTTCCTTCTTTCGAACTTACGCATTCCGATCATCATCCACCTGAGCGTATGCCTTTTGTAGTGCCTTTTTCTCCCTGCCATCATCCTCGAGGACCATGATCCAATCTCGGAGCTGGATATTCCGTCCCTTACCGCCATCTTCTCGCCAAGTTCCTAACCTTCGCACTCCATCGGTAGTCATTTTTTCGGGTCCGGGATTCGCAACTGGGCTTGCACCAGAAGAGCCAAGACCTTGGGTCATGATTTTACCTGGCGTGCTTGTACCACTACCGGATCCTCCAGCAGTCATCCAACTATATTGCTTCTTCTTTCCGAACATACTTTTTCCACCACCCAGAAATTGTGTAGTTGTCACATTGGCTGCTGCGTGACTTGCTGCCTCACTGGTTTTTGCCTCTGCTTTCTTCTTCATTTCTTTCTTGGTAGGTGGCTTGTCAAGAATATCTGGAGCCATAGAACCTGGTGTGCCCGGATTTATTGAACCAGAGCGAGATCCATCACCAGACTCACGAGCCTTACGTCTTCGTAGCCTAGCCTCTTCAGCTTCTTGCTCCTTAGTAGCACATTTTCGAAGTGTCAATGCAACATCATTCGCAAAAGACTTAGTTTGTGCCTTCGCACTATCTGATACTGGAGTAGGCAATCTACCTGCAGCTGAGAGAGGGCCTTCGGTGTGTTAGCTCATAATCAGAATAATGAAAAATATGATACATACGTTTGAGAGGGTTGGTGAGAGGGCTGACAGCACTCTCCCATCCACTCCGTGGACCACCTTCATTGACAATGGTGGCAACACTGGGTTTTATCGCTGGTACAGCAACATCTGTCCATTCATCCCTGATTTGGGCATGTGAACTTGTCTGTCGACCGATAGCTAGCTTCAGTCCGTCCTCTAATAATCCACGAAGTCGATGCTTGGTAGAGATAGACATAAGCGCAAGTTGATCGACAAGTAATGAATCAGATGGAATGAAGGCACCTGTCGTTGCAGTGATGGCTCCATCTGGTCCCACCGCAGTTTGCACTTTGACAGTCGTGTCAGGGAAATGTTCAGGTAGTTTCATAGTTCCCATCTTTCCATTTAAATCTGTATTCAAACCAAGACCATTATCATGTGCAATCTTCTCCATTCTCTTGTGAACGTGGCCAACATTTAAAAATGGATTATTTAATTCCCTTTGCCTCGATACTGCCAAGTCGCGAGCCGCATCATGCCATGCTTTATCCGCAGCCTTCTTTTCAAAATCCTCTTGTGATTTAGCATTTGGTGCCTCTCCGGGTTGATTAGCCGGACCTGAGCCGTAAAAAGATCCCTCATTCCCTGGTGGAAATTGAGTAAAACTGTGACCTGCCGAGATATTTCCTGGGTGTGACCTTGAGCCTTGAGCATTGAATGACGATGAATACTGCTGAAATGTATATTGTTCCTCCTCTGCAAGATCGACACCAGTTCCCCCCAAAACATCCAACGGATCCAAACCATCAACCTTATTTTTATCGATCGGTCTCGAAGGTGGGCCCATAACTCCGCCAGGATGGTGCTGTTGTGGCATCTGCAAATTAAAGTTGTTGAAATGAGCTGACGCCATATTTCCTTGATGATGATGCTGAACTTGATTTGGGAAACTCAATGGGCTTGGCTGCGCATGAGGTGGAAGAGCCATCGGAGTTTGCGGTAGATTTAATGAAGGAGATGGTTGCGCATTCGATCCATTCGAATATGGCGTGGTATAAGCACCCTGAGGAATTTGCACGGTTGAGAAATGCGGCGAAGGTGAAGCTGAATTCTGACCAGAAGCAGCATATGGTGATGTGACATATGGCGAACCTGGTTGAGAGGGCGGATTGGGAGACATTCTTTGTCGCTTGTGGGGTGGAAACGCGAACTGTTGTTGGGTTTGCGTTGAAGGTGAATTAACTGGCTGCGGGGGAGAGAAGGGCCTCTGAGGCATGGGGTATGGCGGTTGCTGTTGCTGTGGTTGCGCCATGATGTCGACGGCTTGATTGTAATTGCCTCTATTAATCTCCTGTATCCTTCACAACCCAGGCGCAAAGCCCGGCTACCTCTTATAACACCGACCCATGCGCTAGTATAAACCTTCACAATACAACTTGAAGACTTGCGCGACCGTATTCACTCGTTGTTTTGATGACCGTTAAGCTGTTTTCTCTCCCGCGTTAATACTGTGGTCATTGAATGAATCGCGAAAGCTATCTGGTTTTGATCTCGTCACGTGTGGAATTAGTGCGAAATTTCCCTTCACAAGGAACGCCAAAATCGCGTCTCTTTGATGACGACCATCCCTTCCCTTTTACACTATTGTATTGATTCACAACACGATTTATTAACTTGGTTCTTTCCCAACTTATTACGAATCTATAAAAGATCTACTGTTATTTCTGTCGTAATTTGATTGATTATAAAATCTTTGCTGAACAAATATCTCTCTGCCTTAAAGGCAGTAGTACTAACTCTAACACTAAGCTGACTGACAAAGAGAGCAATACACACCACAATCCATTCACGATGGCATCAAAACGTAAGGCTGCAGCTATGGCACCTACAGTGGAAGATCCAGTAGATCCAGCTGATGAACTCACTTTTACGAATCTTGGTGGTGGTAATGAGGTCGGAAGATCTTGTCATATAATTCAATACAAGGGCAAAACTGTTATGGTAAGCCTAAGCCGTCTTTCTCCATCAGTTGCGCAATCTTTTTACTGACTTTACGATATAGCTTGATGCTGGTATGCATGCTGGTTACGACGGATTAGCAGCTCTACCTTTCTATGACGATTTTGATTTGAGTACTGTCGATTTACTTTTGATCAGCCAGTAAGCGCATTTCTATTTCCTACATTTTACATACGCGCGTTGGCTTTTGGAGGATGGGCAGTCAGTATATGGTGTTCTGTTTCGGTGTTTCAATACAATGCGCCTTTGGCAGCTTGGACTCTGTGTCGAATTTTGGGTCATGCATCTTTACATGCAGGATTCCGTTTCATTTCATTGGCCTGTCTACCTACCATATTTATCATGTATACGAGAATCAATACAATATCATTATCCCACAGCAAATGCTTGTCTTGATTCTGTGATATAACCTCAATCGCTGCGGACTCAAATTGTACATAGGCTACTACTTTTGTTGGCGTATTTTGGTGCCTTGCCAAGTAGTATACGAGCTGACCATTTGTAGTTTTCACGTCGACCACGCAGCTTCATTACCATATGTCCTTGCGAAGACCAATTTCAAAGGACGTGTCTTCATGACACATCCAACCAAGGCTATCTATAAATGGCTCATTATAGACAGCGTAAGGGTTGGAGGAGCATCCTCAGGTGGAGGTTCACAACCAGTCTACACTGAAGCCGACCATCTCACTACATTTGCTCAAATCGAAGCTATAGATTATCATACCACACATACAATCTCTTCGATCAGGGTCACACCATATCCAGCTGGGCATGTACTTGGTGCTGCTATGTTCCTTATTGAGATCGCAGGACTCAAGATATTTTTCACGGGAGATTATTCTCGAGAAGATGATAGACATCTTGTCTCTGCCGAGGTTCCTAAAGGAGTAAAGATTGATGTTCTAATTACCGAATCTACGTATGGTATTGCATCACATATTCCCCGATTAGAACGAGAGCAGGCCCTTATGAAGTCTGTTACTAGTATCCTGAATCGTGGGGGTCGAGTTCTTATGCCGGTTTTTGCACTTGGTAGAGCTCAAGAACTTCTTTTGATTCTAGATGAATATTGGGGTAAACATCCAGAATTTCAAAAGATCCCTATCTACTACGCTAGTAACTTGGCTCGTAAATGTATGTTAGTATACCAAACATACGTTGGCTCTATGAACGAAAATATCAAACGACTCTTCAGAGAACGTATGGCCGAAGCCGAAGCCAACTCAACTAGTGGGGGTAGAGGAGGACCATGGGATTTCAAATATATTCGTTCATTGAAGAATCTTGATCGGTTTGACGATGTTGGAGGTTGTGTTATTTTAGCAAGTCCCGGTATGCTACAGAATGGTATCAGTAGACAATTACTAGAACGCTGGGCACCAAGTGATAAAAACGGTGTTATTATTACTGGTTACAGTGTCGAAGGTACTATGGCAAAGCAAATCATGCAAGAACCAGATCACATCCAAGCAATCATGTCTGGTCCACAGGGCTTCACACGAAGATCAGCACCTGGAGAAACAGAGAAAGCCATGATACCTAGAAGATGTAGTGTTCAAGAATACTCCTTTGCAGCGCACGTTGATGGCGTCGAGAACCGGGAATTCATTGAAGAAATTGCTGCTCCTGTCGTGGTAAGTTCCTTCTACCTTGCAAATCCAATTCAAATGAAAAAAGACTTAACAAGCATAGATTCTCGTCCACGGCGAACAACACAATATGATGCGTCTAAAATCTAAACTTCTCTCCCTCAATGCCGACAAAACAACCAAAGTGAAAGTCTTCTCCCCCAAGAATTGCGAACCATTACGCATTCCTTTTATGACTTCCAAAACCGCCAAGGTCGTCGGAAAACTCGCCAACAATCCTCCACCTACTGATTCCGCCCAAATTATCACTGGTGTGCTGGTTCAAAACGATTTCAAAATGTCGTTGATGGCTCCCGAAGATTTGAGAGAATATGCTGGATTAACTACTACTACTATTACATGTAAACAACGTATGACACTCAGTGCGGCGGGTATTGATCTTATACGATGGGCTCTAGAGGGAACATTTGGAAAGATTGATGAATTGCCTGAAAGTAGAGGACAACAAAAACATCCAAATGGGAATGGAAATGGAAATGGTGATACGCATATGAATGGATCATCTGACGAAGAAGCCGACGAGGAGATTGCAAATACGAATGCAGTCACTGCATATTTAGTTATGGGCTGTGTTACAGTGAGGTATAGAAGTAATGGAGAAGTAGAATTAGAATGGGAGGGCAACATGTTGAATGATGGGATTGCGGATGCCATCATGGCGGTGTTGTATTCGGTGGAAAGCAGTCCGGCCGCTGTTAAACGTATGTTCTTCAACTTCATTCTATACTCCCTTTTTTCTCCTCATCAATCATATTTTACCTCTTACCCATTCTCAAAACTAACCCCCCCCTAGAATCCGCAAGCAAATCTCCCCACTCCCACTCCCCTCCAGCCCGCAACTTGCACGCGCATCTCACCCCCACCGAGCGTCTCGAGCGCCTCTTCATGTTCCTGGAAGCCCAATTCGGCGCCGACAATCTCGTCCCCATCACCACTCCCCGTCTATCCACCGGAATTCCATCTCCCACCTCCTCCCCTTCCATCTCCTCCGACACTAAACCCTCTTCTCCCTCGGATCTCGAAGCCCCCGAATCCTCAGAAACGTACGCCCAAGAAAAAGAACTCGCTCGTCTTCATAAACTCGGTATTCCCGTTCCGGGCATCGAGATCAAGGTCGATAAGATGGTGGCGAAGGTATGGTTGGAGGATTTAGATGTTGAGTGTGCGAATCGGGTTTTTGGGGAGAGAGTGAGAGCTGTGGTGGAGAGGGCTGTGGAGGTTACGGCGCCGTTATGGGGTTGAGTTGAGAAATATGGTAGGAGCTAGATAGGGGCCTCCTGATTTGAGGGAAATGGAAAATTGGAAAGGGAAGGACAAAGAAGAAATGTATAATACCTAGATAAGCGAGGATGAGGATGAGGATCAAGAATCACTAACTTTGCACGAAATGCACAAATGCGATGTTTGAGAGAGAGATAACTATTCTAGGTAGATAGTAGATGGAAAAACTCACTATACCGAGAACCTTTCAACAGATGAAAGAACAGATGAACATACACACACACACACACACAATCAAATCCTATCTACCCATCCATATCCCTCACTCAGCATCCAGATCTCCCCCCTCGCTTCACTTTCATAATCTTGTAATCTCCCAACTCAGAAATCACACACATATCTTAAATATGCTTAACCTTCTTGTTGTTCTATCTATTCCCTCGTACATGACAAATTGAAAACAAACCATCGTCTGCTTCCACGAAGAAACAGCGTTCATATATAAGTATAAATAACACACATACCTGCATCTCATAGTCGGCGTAGCATTAGCTTTAGGCAGACTGAATTGATTAAGATTTTATTAGAACTAATGAGAATAAATGTTACTCACAAGAATCCTTTCCTCCCCTCTCATCTCACTTTCCTTTCTCTCTCTCGCACTCGTCATAAAAGTAAAGTCTAGAGATATCTTCGCATTCTAATACATTTGTAGTTCGAAATGGCACATTCAACTTCACAATCACAATTTAACCAATCAATCAAGAATTTTGTTTTAGAAATTTTTATGTTTTATTTTTATTTTGAATATTCGTAAAATCGTTAAACCTCCCCATTATTTCTCTTCCTATATCCCATCCAGAATCGACCAAGCTTCAAGCTCAAGTCATCATATATATGCTAATGCTACAAGCAACCTATCCATCCATCGCCAGAAAAGATGCCTAAAATTTATACCACCAAGAAGGGTTTCCAACCGCGCGCCAAAACACCCAACCCCAAATCCCAAATCCCAACATTCTGTGCATCTATGCAAGCAACCAATCATCCTGGGGTATATCCACAAATCTTTTTATCTTCATCGCCCCATATTTACCCGCTTCGTAAGTTGAATTATCCATTATCTCCATCTCATCCCCATCCCCGTTCACTAGCCTTCTTTAATTGGCTATTTAGTCAACGTCGTCATCGTTCTCATCCTCGTTCTGCAAGACCCATCCCTTGCTCATCTCAACTGCTTGTCCCCATTTCTTGAACATACGGGCAGCCTTTGCTGGCTTGATTTTTGGTTCGAAGATAGTTCTGTCATCACGGTTCATCTCCTTGAGTTCATCAAACTCCTTCCAGATACCGACTGCGAAACCCGCTGCGATTGCGGCTCCGAGAGCTGTGGTTTCGCGCATGACTGGTCTGTTGATTGGAATGTTGAGAACATCGGCTTGTGTTTGCATGCAAAGGTCAGAGTTGGACATGCCACCATCAACAGCGAGTCCTTCCAACTTGTGTCCGGAATCTTTCTCCATAGCATCAAGGATGGCCTTGGTTTGGAAACAAGTAGCTTCAAGGGTAGCACGGGCGATGTGACCACGTTGTGTGTGTTGAGTAATACCGAAAAGTGTTCCCTTGGCATCATCAATCCAGTATGGAGCGAATAAACCAGAGAAAGCAGTAACGAATACTACACCTCCGTTGTCATCAACAGTCTCTGCCAATTCAGTGATCTTGCTTGAATGTGCGATGAAACCCAAGTTGTTCATCAAGAACTTGACACCGGAACCTGCAACAGCAATGCTGCCCTCAAGAGCGTAAACGGGTTTTCGGCCATTGCCAAAATCGTATGCGACGGTAGCCAAAAGACCATATTTTGATACTACTGGCTTGTCACCAACGTTGTAGAGAAGGAAGCAACCAGTTCCGTATGTGTTCTTTGCATGACCAGGCTTGAAGCCGCATTGACCGACCAAAGCGGATGATTGATCTCCAAGACAGCCAGTGATTCTGGTGCCTTCGAGAGCACCGTAGGCCATTTTACCGAAAGCTTCCTTGTCTGATGACGGAACGATTTTTGGAAGGGTAACGTTTTTTCTGTCGAGTTGGAAGAAGTTGAGGAGTTTATCATCGTATTGTAATGTGTGGAGGTTCATGAACATGGTTCTAGAAGCATTGGTGGTATCTGTGACATGAACACCACCTTCCTTTCCTCCGTTGAGTTTGTAGATCAACCAAGAGTCGACTGTTCCAAAAGACAATCTGCCTTCATCGTATGCGTTCTTGATAGCTTCAACGTTTCGGTACATCCACATAAGCTTAACGCTGGAAGGGTAGGTCGAAAGTGGCAGACCACACAATTGAAGGATCTCATCTGCTCCATCCGACTCCTTGAGCTCGCGCACAAGAGCGGTGGTTCGGGTATCAGGCCAAACAACGGCATTGTATAATGGTTCTCCAGTGTTTGTGTCCCAGCAGATAGTTGTTTCACGTTGATTGGTAATTCCAATAGCTTTGATGTCGGACTTCTTGTATCCCAATTCGAGGAATTTTTCTGTTGCCTTCTCTACACACTCATCCACAGAGTTAACCAATTCTTGAGGATCATGTTCATGCCATCTGCAAAAAGGTTATTGTTAGCTTTGGAATCGATAGAAAGGGCAGAGCAATAAAACTTACCCGGACTCAGGGTACATGTTTTCAAATTCATGCTGGTGCATGGCAACAGGTTGCCCTTCTCCATTGAAGATAATGAATCTTGTAGAAGTTGTGCCTTGATCAATACTACCAATGAACCAATGTTTTTGTTCTTCCTCCTCGGTTTGAGTCAAGTCTCCTGGCAGATGTGCTTTGGTTTGTTCGATGTGTTCGACATATTCGGCTTCCTCTGGGCTTGGAATCTCAAGGTTCCTGAACTCTGCGTCTCTTCTGTATTTGAAACTATCGATATCACTGTGTGGTATCGAGGGCGGTGGTGTTGGATGCATCATCATGATGGGAAAGTGTTTGTGTGTGAAGCGATATAAAAATAAGACAATGGGTATATTAGAAAGCAAGGCTTGATGCGGAAGTACTATGAAAGTGAAGCGCGAAGAAATGATTTCTTAAGAAGAAGTGTTTGTTGGTTTGTATGATGAGGATGAAATCGAGGGGGGATATGTTGGAGTTATAATAGTTTGGGGGAGTAGTGGAGGTGGGGAATGAAGGAGGCTTTGATACGGTCCTGCGGGAAGGAAGAGTACGGAGTAAGCGCGAGGGGAGAAGTCGCTAGTATGACATGTTAAGGATTTGATGGAGGTAGACCGTATGTGGAGGGACTAGGTGGAGGAAAGGTAGAAGGGGTGTTCCGGGAAAAAGATCAACCAAGTTGAACCAACACTTTTTAGGAATATCTCACCGTTACTCGCATTCTCGTACCAAGTAACTAAAGGTGGAAACTGGATATTCCAGTTCCAAGTAATTAAATTCGTTCTCTTTTACTCTAGTAAAAGATCCTTAGTATAAAATTTCGATTGTCGATGGCGCCTCGTCGGAAGTTCCGTTCTTCCTTGGTGTACCAGATGAAGCGGGGGCCCCTCTTTCTAGGTCACTTGGACCTGGGTCATCTTTTTTAATTATTTTGGTACGAATTTAAATGCACGGATAAAGATGGGAAAAATCGATCCCGCGCAGCCAAGTGGTAAAGAGTAGTAAATAGCGTTTCCTAGGCATAGCATTAGCATTGGCATAGGTTGGCAAACTACGGTAGATTGGAAGATTGACTGGAATGGAGAGACGCCAAAAGATTAAGTCAAATCTATTAAGAAAAGTTTCGAATCTTTTTGACTTTTTAGTCCCAATCCGGTATCAATTTCCCTCAACTAGAGGGGAAAGAGCTAGAATCCATATTAGACAATCCACAAGAACCATGTAAACCCTCTGCACAGAACACCGCAGAACACGCAGAACACGATCTATTTTCCAGGGCGACATGTGACGGGACAGATGATCAACCAAAATTCATGGGAGGCAGTTCCGGTAACAGTGGGGAATTATGAAGGGGAAAATGTATGGGAATCGAACACTATGAGTATGGGAAAATAAAGCTACTAGGCCGATTGCTTGACTTGTAAAGGTAGAAAAGATCTAGTTACTACTAAATAAATACTAGATTGATACTAGCCATCAAATAGTCATAACTATAAAATGACTAAGTTATGAAGTCAACCATCTAAGTGCTGATTGGGCATCTAGAGGCTCTATTAAGTTCTTACTTTCTTGACGCCAATAACCGGTACTATCTTTCCGTTAAATCGTTATTTTCCACTTCGCTCTCTATTCTTCCTCAGCCCACTTTCTCGACTCTGTATTAGATTTCTTCCAGAGATCAATATGAAACTGTAAAATGGTTATGTACAGCAAAAGCTGGCTGGCTCGCTGACTGATTCATTGAACTGGCTGGCCTTTTCACCCAAATGTTCGAGGCGTGTTCTATGAAAACGGAAGAATTATTTCCGTCCTATGAAGCTGAATGATTGGAATTATGCCGCCCAGTGGTTCGTCACCCTATAGAAATATCCATGCACTTTCCTCGAGTAGAATGTGTTGAAAAGACCTAGGTAGAAAGTTTATCAAGAGACTAGAGTCACCCTTCAAGTCCGTCCTCTGAATAGGAAAGAGATCTGTGCTCAGTCTGTAGTACTGTGCTCTTCCTACTTAGGTACTTCCGTGGAACCCATGTTTGCATTTGCATTTACGGAGTATAGTGTGGTAGTCGGCAGTGTGCAGTGTGCAGTGTACAGTGTACAAGTATACTAGAGTTAGTACCTACAGTAGTTAGTTACATCGTGCACCTGGAGTTTTCGGTTTGCATTCTTTGGGCTCCAACATCCATATACTCCTCCACTTATTTTTACGAGGAAGTTGTTTTAGCTTGTTGAGATCTCATCGATTTGCTGATGTTGATGCTAATGCTAATGCTAAAAAGCTCATGCTGGTTGATGCTGATGCTTTACCGGTATCGCCTTGACAGGTCTCTCCCAGACGAATATCTAATCATGATCCACAATACTACATGTGGCTGTGTTTACTTGAGGCGCTATGGTGGGGGATTCGACTGCAAATCTGCAAATCTTCTGTCCTTACAGAATTGGCAACGTCAACATAAACGAATCGAAACATTGTTAGAAACGGCTCAACCAAGTCTTATCTTTCTGCCTTGGAAATGATATCACGTTTCTTAGGTTATGATGAAATTTCAATTGTCCATCTTTCAATCATCGAGAAATACGGAATCTCATATCTCGATCGCCATGTATACATAACATCATGCCCCCATTGTTTTCCAAAGTCATGAGTTGGTTTGACATCAGTTTCTTATTTCATCGAGCTCAGATATCATCATATATCATCATACAATTAACTTGGAATGAGATATATCCATTTTATGTCATCAATGAATTCATAATGATGAAAAAGATCTACTCGCAAGAATATCACGACACTTGCTTGGGTACGTACTCACTGACAACACATTTATCTCGGCATTCTTAATTCTGTTGCCAAAAATCCCATTTCCTATTCACATGATGGTATCCCCTCTCCCCCCCCCACAAAATTGACTGTGATCAATCTCTCTTTTTCTACGGAACTTTTTTCAATTTTTAAAATATCACGATGCACGACTCAAGGACTACCCCTTTTTTCCACCCCATTACTCCAGTCTCTAAGAAAAACTCAAATTGCTCTCGTGCTCAAAAAAGTATTGTCCACTCAGCACAGTCCAGTTCCTCGCGTCTATTTTGTTAGTCCAATTCCAGAGTCCCAAGATGGAACTTCAAACTACAATAATTGCAAAAACAGAAAAGAGTCAGAGACGATCTATCTGACTGGCAATATTGTTGAAACCCACCAGAGGCTAGAACCGAGACAACAAAGGTGTTCGACCACAGCCTCGCCCATATATCAATGTCCAAACATTACAAACCATCTCTACTCCGAGACTCATTCCGCCCCGCCTGTCTAGTTTCCAATTTCCTACCTGAACACTGACCAGTCCAGCCCCCTCTCCAGGCTTCAAGTAGTTTGGGGGTAAAAAATTGAATTGGGACATCCGACGGGATTTCCTAATATGACTTAACGTCCTTTTCTACAATTAGACTTTTTTAACCTTTTAGTTCTATTCCTGGAGAAACGCCAACAGAAACAGAAACACATCAATCAAATCCAAAATTGAATGCCGGAGTAACGATACGATACAAGTATTGGAACCAAAGACCGTGCAGTCGTGCATGGCACTGCACGCTCATCTGTTTACACCTTAATAGGTAATTCCAGCCAAAAAGCATGGGACAGAGTCCGCGGATAAGCATTTGAGTATCCATCTACTTACTTTCACCCCACAAGACCACCCTTCTAGAACAATATTGATCGGTTTATGAACCCCTTTCGAGTCTCATCACCGGCGACCCCCCAACCAAAAACTTCTTATCCGTCGTGAAAAAGGTCACGATGTCAATTTCTAGCTTCATGTTTGTCTCTTTCACAGCTGCACAGACTTCTGCACCCTGGAACTCACAGACTTTACAGGGCTTCTTGTACTTCTCATTCATCTTGGTACCTGACTACCACCTTACGTTCCTACCCAAAATCTAACTTCTAAGACACACCCACTCCAACTTCACATACGAACAGACGATCGAAATATTTTTTCAGAGGTACAGTATGTACCATTTTAGTTACATACCACGTACAATCAGCATGTGTGGTAGCAATATGCAACATGCAATGCAAGACACGCATTTCAAAAATCGAACACCCTTCAAAGATTCGAGACTGTGCACTGCATCCTCTGCAACGTATCCAGACTACTCGATATAAACATAAAATGAAGAAAAATAAATCAATCGCCTCCTTTCTAGACCTTTTCGCAAAAAAAAAATTGAATCTTTCCCCACATCTTCAAAACATTATCTGTTGCTAACATGTGCCCGCGTGAGCATTTATATGGGTATTCTCCTTTTGTATCTATCGCGCAATAATTGAGAATTTCTAAAGATGGAGTTTTGCTTGTCTGCTTGGCAGCTTGCTTCTCCAGCATCTTCGGGTAACAAATTGAAACTCAGAAATCTGTACAGTACTTTGTACTGTACGCTCCGCTTCTCCAATCTATCTGTCATACGATGTATAAACATAGTTTTAGCAAGAATTCACAAGTATTCAATTCATAAGGTTACATACCGCTCCCTCGTAAAGCATAAACCACCAACCCACAAACTACTGTACGGAGTACAACTAGTCCTACCCTTCCGGCCTTAGCATTCGCAAAAGCACAAAGTGAACAAAGCTCTGCAGAAACCTAGATAGAGACATACCTATGCATGGGGATTCGCAATCCCTCCATCTCATCCCATCCCTTTATCTTTCTTCATCTGCGTGCTTCACCGACAGAAGATATGCACAGGATCCCACATTGTTGCCACATCCCTAGACTAAACCCAAAAATGAAATAAAAATTAATTTTTTTTTACTTTTATCAATTTCACTTGGGATGGTAATCAGTTCGAGCTATCGCTTCTAATAATTCTATTAGTGAAGCGAAGCGAGAGCGTGGGATGCGCATGGGGCAAATCGTTAGCGTACATTTTCGAGCAATGTTGTATCGCCCACCTTTTGGAGAGGGGAAATCTCACGATGTTTTTTTTTCTTCTCTTTTTTCTCTTTGGGTGAGATGAGATGAGACGAGATGGTTTTGTGTGGTGCTATGTTGTGGTCACCGGGAAGAGATTCTAGGGGGTTTGGTATGGGGTTTGTGCTGTTGCACATAATTATTGTTTGTATTTTAATGTTATTGATAATTATATATCAATCTCAAAAATAATATCCACAGATCGTAACAAACATGTTCAATATCTTCTTTGAATGAGAATATATTTTTCACCCCTCTCTCTCTTCCATCCCATCTCATCCCGTCGATACGACTCTCGAGTATATTTTTAACGTTCTCGCCCGCATAGAATAAGTTCTAGGCATTCATCTCTCGTGCATTAATGTCCAAGCTTTTTTGTGCTGGTCTCTGATAGGATAGGTCGATCATGCGGCCGCGGGGAATCCGGCGCTAGTGCAGATTGGGGTTGAGCGAGGAGGATATTGATAACACGAGATAGATGGATATAGATATAACGGTGTTTGTGTCTATGTTTGAGTTTAGGTTTTGGTCTTGCTTCGGGTCTGGGTTGGGGTAGGCGAGTCCACTACGGGATCTAGATGAGGAGCGGCGCTTGCTACCGTTTATTTATTATTTTGATTATTTATTTGTTTATTTAATAGATGGCCAAGTGGGTGAGAGAGAGCTCGAGCTTGGAAGGTGGTATGTGTACATGTGCGTTTTTGCTGAGCTCAAGCTTGGATACATACATGGCTAGGATCTAGCATGCTATGGACCGGAGCTTGAGGGTGTAGGGTGGCAAGGCACAGTCGAATATGTCTTGCATATAAGGAGGTGATGGGCCCGGAGGCTGTTGTGACACACGTACTATAAGGGTACAGTATTTGCTTGTATGCTTGCTGCTTGGCCATTCTCTTGGCCGCCTCCTTGTCCTGGCTTGTGCTGTGGATGTAGGGGATGTGCTGAGCTTGGATATACATGTAGCTAGGTTCTAGCATGTTATATAAGGACCGAAGCTCGAGGGGGGTGGCGAAGGGACGGGGATAGTTGAGTATGTCTTGCATATAAGGAAGTGAGGGCGGGAGGACCGGGGAGTTTATCAAAACATCTGTACTATAGTATAGTATGGTATGTGCTTGACCGCCGCCTTGTTGTGGCGTGTGCTGTGTGTAGATGCACAAAAGCTTAGATGTATACGAGGAGGCTAAGCTATGTACCGGAGATGAGGAACGGATAGGTATGTCGTGCATACACGGGAGCGGGAAGTAAGCATGACATCCAATCTGGGTATATAACACGTGCTTGGCTGCTTATTTGCGTGTTTGCTTGGCTGCTTACTTGATCTTGTTCGCTCTCGCTTTGTGGTATTATCCATCATCTATCAAGTGTAATCTTGAGCTTGAACAAGATCCACAGATATCAGCTCATGGGTTCATTGCCTTTTGAAAGTCGAGTCTGACAATGAAAGGTACGCGGTTCCAGAACTTCATTAGAGCACTCGATATTGAAAACACTGGATTGGGTGATGGTGTCCTGGACATTGAATTTGTTTCCAAGCAATGAAAAGTTCCTTCCAGTCTGTAGTCCAGATCATGAGATGAGATGATCTATTATCATCTCCAATCCCCTCAATTATACCCTAGCCTTACTGTTTTAAGTAATTAAGCTCGGAGGTGAGGAGGAGAGTAGAGGTGGATATCGACTTAGTTTATGTGGATGGTGAGAGGTCTCTCGTTTGATATGGTCCAGTGACGAGATTGTCGAGATTTTGGCGAAGAGGATAGACGATACATTTCTTAAGTAGTAGGAGGGTTCGCTTGGATTGTTTAGAGGATGATAAGGTATTGGAGATTGGTTTGGTATAATTCAGTGACGAGTGAATCGAGTGATTCGACGGTGCCTGGTGGATGACAAGGAAGAGATCTCCTCAATTGTATGTGCGGAATTTATAGAAAGTGGATTGCCGGTGATTTGTTTGCTATAGCCCAGTGAGGAATTGTATCGAGTGATTTGACGGTATCTAGTAGGCGACAGGGACAAGATCCTCTCGATGGTAATGACGACCTAAGTCACCGGGCGATCCGTTTGACATAATCCAGTGACGGATCTTTCGATTGTGTGACATGGATCGAGTGATTCAATGGTATCTGATAAACGATATGGCAAGGACCATCTTGATTATACACACAAGCCGGCGGGCTGACGACGGGACGATGGACTGACGGCGGGAAGGTTTGAGAGCATGCAGAACAAAGCCCTTAGAAACTTCAATCATCCATCGGAAGTCTGGACCGGTGCAGCGTCTGTACAATCTTCCCTTGAATTGGCCAGAACTTGTTAGTCTCTTGAAATACACGGGATGAATGCTCGTGAATCTTGCAATCTACTTTGCCACAGCACCATGACCCAAGGACCGACAGATCTTCAGGGTATTTAGGGGAAGCCATTTTCGTCGGTCCCTCGCCTTCACCGTGGGGCTGCGTTATTAGGGAGACCCTCGCGTATGCGCGACGGTCGTATTCGCGAACACTGCCCGGGTTCAGGTGTCTGGGCTCATTGGTTCATTGCAAGGCAAAAGACAGTCCGTGGTAAGAATATCCGTCTGGGTAGGCCTTTCTGAATAGGGCCTCTTCAAATCTTCCTTCTCTTACTCCTTCTTCCTCGTCGTCATCTTCTCTCGGTATTCCCGCACACGCTCGTCTTCGTCACTACCCTCCTTCTCCTCCTCTTCTTCCTCTTCATTTTCCTCATCGCCCCCATTCTTATCTATATTCGTTGCATCATCTGCCAAACCTTTTGTTTTTTCGGCGTGTCTCTCTAGTTCTTCCGCTGCCTCCCATACGCTCCGCCGCTTTTGTTCTCGCATCCGAACCTTACGCTCCTCGGGCATGAGGGCAAGACGTTCAGGTTGTGGCCGTCCCATCTTTTCACTAATATGGAGCATGGATTATCTCAAGAGCTTGTTATCGTTTAAGACCATGAATTATATAAACGTGTCAAATAACCTGATTATATGAACTAGTCTGAATGTACAGATTGTTCCGAGAACTTGAAATGATTTGAAAGTATGAATTGATTCAATTGTCTGTCCTGTCCCAAGATTGTGAGTTAGTCTCAAATTAAGAAATGTCTTGAACATATGAACTGACTAGAGTGATTGAAACAACTTGAATATGTGAATCTGGTTGAGATTGTAAATCTATTTGAGAGTATAAACCGCCTTGAGAATTCAGTTCAATTTCAAAGTATAAATCGTCTTGAATGTATGAACTGGCTTAAGAGTATGAAATAACTTGCAAGTATGAATTTATGTTCGAGGAATATCCTTAAGAAAATGAAAAGAAATCAGAGGAGACTTTCTAAAGATATACCCCAGAATTCTCAAATGAACTGGATGAAACTCTAACCTAATAAGGAGTAGGTACTGTCAAGCAAGAATATACACCGATTACTATAAGATAGCCTTGGGTGTCAATTAACTCCATAATCACATCTATTCCTCGTCATTCAATTGGCTTATCTTGATAATACTACACCAAATCCAACCCTCATTTCAGGTAAATAACATATTTATATCAAACCCCGAGATACATCACCAATAGAGTATTTTTGGTATAAACTAGAGTATCTAGTTGAAATAAGCTTTGGAGCCGTCTCGCTAGTACATGATTCGCTTACTCACTAATGGGTTCCCTTACACACGCCTTTGGTATTGGGCATGCGATGTCGTCAGTAGCAGTATAATATCTTCTTCGTGCCAAAAAGGGTACATCTGATAATTTTGAGAGGCGCCATTTGGTATTAATGAGGTTTGGGACTATCTAGGGGGTCGACGTTCATGATATCTACCTCAAAACTTACTGGTTTTCAATTGGTTCACGCGTAATTTCTCTCTGTGCTTAGGTGAGGAACTTGGGTATCTTCCCTAACATCCTATTTCTATAGGATACGGTCTTCCGTTATGTGATTAGATCTGTGACTGTCGAAGAAATCGGTATGTATAGTCTCTTGTTCATGGAAAAGTTGCCCAAATGAACATTACATCTCAATGTAACCAGCTCAAAATTAACACTTCACGGCTATCTGATCCAGTCAATTGAATACAGCTAGATTGACATTGTGATTCATCATATGTTACTTCCCATAGGGCTGAACTAATATCTGAAGACCCAAAAACATGCTCACCACAGCTCCGAATTCTCACGTTGAATCATAGATGTTAGGGCTGTTAAATGGCCGTCAGTTTGTATTGCGTTATCAGATCATGTCGACCAACCGCATTCTCCAGTGTCAACTGTCGTATGAAAGTAACACAGTATATGGGAATAAACTCATTTTCATCTTTCTAGATGACATGATTAGTTCCATTTGAAGGAACCGAATTTGAATAGGAACTTCAGAATGTACGATACAATACTATATCTGATATCGAGGAATTAAATCTATCTGATCAAATAACGTTATAACTTCGTCATGATATCACTATCAGTCATATTTCCAACCCTAATAAACACAGAAATCTACCGTATGGATATCCTACATCGAGTTGAGTAGCATTAGAGTAGGTTAGTCTAAAAGGTATTCACAAATCTCCATCGAGTTCTTCACCACATATTTTTACACCTCAGCTAACCTTCTATCTTCCATCACTTTCCAGAATCCAGATATCTAACCACCCATCAATGAATCCAGTTTAGATCAGCATAAATATAACACCGTCTTCCCTATTGTTCTTTTATGTTATTTGTATAGACATGGCATACAGAATCACCAAAAAATACTTCTACTCATCATATTTACAGACAATTCAACTGGTTGGCGAGAGAAATTTGAGGTTCATGAGGTACCCTTTAGCCGCTATACTTTGATATTGTATACGTGAATGACCTTTAATATCTATGTCACCATGTGAAACCACCATTCGTAAACGTGGAACACGGTCTTAGTTTAAAAATCATAATGCAAATTTCAGGAATTTAAGCAAGCGGAAAAATTCATTTAATCAACGTATGTATCTGCTTGTAAAACTAAATTTCTTGTGCATTGGATAGACCCTCCATGATACATTCATGCAGTTCACTATTTCTGGCCAACCATTCAACCATATAATGCAATATTAATGATTTGGATTGATCATATTTCCCAAAAAACCTCCATCAACACTTTTCCCGTGAGCACTTTGCCACCTACCAGCATAGATTGAGATGAAAAATGAAGCAAACCATTCAACCCTACCCATATAAAACCGAAAAAGTTATCGAGTACCATTAATAGCCTCCGTATCCACCGCCACTGGGTGGATATTGATACCCGCCTTGGCCGCCATAAGGGGGTTGCTGAGGTGGATATTGTTGGCCTGAGTATCCCTGCTGAGGAGGATATTGATTCTGAGGAGGTCCCTGACCCCATGGATCGGGGGGAGGTGGTCCTTGTTGACCCCACTGGCCGGAGGGTGGCCCTTGATTCCAATACTCTCCTGGAGGAGGGCCTTGTTCGTAGTTGTTATGTGGAGGGCCGCCGTACTGTTGGCTGTATGGCTGCTGCTGCTGCTGTTGCTCATAGCCGCCGTATTGTTGGTATGGAGGTTGTTGAGATGCATAGCCACCTTGTTGTTGATAACTTGGCTCAAGGTAAGCATTTCCACCTTGAGGTGGCTGTGAAGGACCCGTGTTTCCGTAACCGTAATTTGGAGTGCCATGTTGTCGTCCCGGAGAACCTGGAATTGGGGAGGGGTTTATATATGATGGTCTAGTATCCGAGCCCTCCATTGCTCCTAGATCTCTAGTTTTGATTTCCGACCAGATAGATCCAGAGGTTTTACCGTGGCCACCGAGAGAGCCATGATTATGATCATGTTGGTCTGAGCCGGTGTGGTTACGACCGGCCTTTACGGATTCTGAGTTGAGTAAATGGTTTAGGGCCTGGGCATTTGGTTGTTCGTTGATCCAATCCTTTACAGTATTGAACATGTTCTTGTGGATTTCGACATGTTCGTCGCGGAGAGCTGGATGATGGAAGGTGCGTAGAATATCATTCATGACTTCATCAACGGGGACGCCTGGATTTTGCCACGCGTAGAGTATGCGACTGAAGGAGGTTAGCAATTGTGTTGTCACTATAGGAGGAAAGCTTACGGTGTTACATATTGTAAGATAGTGGATGCCACTTTTCCAGCGCACGAATTCAACATATTGGAAAAATGATCCTTGGAAAGCATAGAGTGAGTTGGGTCAGTGCAATGAGGATCATTCCATGGCTCGAATTGAGAGTTTGCACTGGCTTCAACAACTGTACTGGAACCCTTCTTCAAACTATCAGACACTGCATCAATGATAGGTCGAACAAATGGTGCGAGTAAAGATAGAATAAACACGGTCAATGTCTCACTAATTCTCTCGACCAATGATTCGAGGCCAGGAATCTTGGCAATTGTGTTGTTAATGGCTCTAACTATCTTATCTCTGAACTCGAGGATAGGATAAATCTTTTTTGCAGTTGCAACCGCATCAAAATCAGGGCTCATTCCTGGAACACCTGGACCTGGTGGGCCACCTGTAGAGCCAGGAGGAGCGTTGAATGTGTTTCCAGAAGCTCGAGTTTGCTGATTTGAGTTTTGATATTCTTGAGCGGCAGATTGAGCTTGAAGATCTCGTGCGGTACTTGCTAATCCGCTTCCCATGCCAGGAATCTGAGCGAGAAGACCTGCAAAGTCCGTGCCGCTACTTCCAGACCCAAATAGCCCGCGTTGACCGTCACCGCCGCCACCACTCTGTTGCGCCTTTTGCGCTCCACCTAAAGCAAGATCCATTTCTTCAACCTCGGTTTGAGTGAAATGATCAGTTGCTTCACCAAGAACTGAATGCAAGAAATCAACCGCTCCGAATGTACCTGTGACCAGAGGATAAACATGATGACCACGAATATTGATCTCCGCATTTACGCCACAATGAGGGAAGACATCACGATATCCTAATTCTCTCAAAGCCAACTCGCAATAATTTGTATGGGCTCCAAAGTCTTCCATGCAGTGCAAGGCTTGTCCAAGACATCGAAGGGCTTCACAAAGATCTTCTTCTTTGCCTTTACCATGTGAGCCGCTAGTATACAGTCTACCAAAGTGGATACTTCGTGCGAAGCTGAATTTGACGTAACCAGCACTAGTTGCCCAGCCTCCACTTTCGTTGGCAATGTAATTTTTCATACCCGAATTCGGGTCGATTTCGAGCTCTATAGGATTGATAGGGCCACGGAGTCTCGAGTCAAAAGTTCTTGCATCTTCATTATCAGCATAACCTTTGGGATTATCGATATGCTCTTCGGGTCTATAAACGCCAAGACGTTCTTCTGTGACCTCGAATTCTGCAGTAGCGTAACCAAAAGACAAGAAACTCAGAACCCAAACCTATTAATAATTAGCAAGTATGCCTATGATAATGAAGTAGCCAGTTCCTTACCAGAATTCGAATTGTAGGCGCTGATACACCTTTTAAACTTCCCACATCAACTGCTTGAGAGTAATCTCGCAACCAGTTTCCAAAGTAAACCCTCTTGATCATCATACTCGTCCATTTATGACCCTTAATGAAGGCAACAGTCTTGAGTAGATCCTCGATATCGCCATGACGAAAGTTCTTGCCCTCGATATTGGATATACTAGGAATATTACCGGCACCAAAAGCTACTGCGGGGGAAGGTAAAACAAGAAGTAAAATGCATGCTATGAGCAAAAATGACCCGGAGTTGGGAATCGGGAAAGCCATTTTTTGTTTTGATGTTATCACCACTACGACTTTGTACGTTTGGCAAAAGATGAAGAGTAGAAAAGAGGTTTCCAAGATCGGAAAGATGACGAATGCAGAAGAATTATAACATTGCAATTCTTGTAAGCTTTGCCAAGTTACTGAGCCACATCTGACGACCTGATCGCAAACCCCGCCATCATGTGAATCCTCGAGGCTTGAGAGACACGTGACACAGATGAATAAGCTAAAAGTTCAATGAAGAATGTCTGCAGGGTGTACCCTGAAGATCGGTCGTCGGTATCTACAGATTTGATGTGGCTCGATTCTCTATCAAAATCTCCTGAGGAAAGATCACCATATTCTGAGTGGCCGGTGTATCAATCGATTTTGAATATATACTCGTACTGGGACGGTAGGGAGGCATTTACCAAACACTTCTATTCTGATTGTAGAGGAAGGAATTCTTGAGTTGTTGATTGTAAACATCCCATTCCTTTGATTGCTTTCTGCTTTCTGCTTTCTGCTTTCTGCTTTCTTTGGCAGCCACATGTATTAAAGACGTTGCACGACTTCCACCGCCCTATTCATTGTCCGAATATTCCGTTTCTCTGTTTACGCCCGTGCCCAACACCTCTCTAGTTTCTTTCTCAATTTGCCTCCCAAATTCGATACAAAACATCGATTCATCCCTCCTATACTTCTGCGATTCTTATCTTTTTAATTCGAAAGTCGATACCGTTCGATAAATCGCGACCATGTCTCCTTCTCGAACTCTCCCAACCCTTACCCAGGCGGAAGTCGCCTCTCACAACTCTGCAGATAGCTGTTATGTTACTATGGGCACAAGGGTCTTTGATGTTACAGATTTCGTTGACAGCCATCCGGGCGGAGGTGAATTGGTATTGGAATACGCTGGTCAAGACGTAACGGCGATCCTAAAGGACGAGCTCTCGCACACCCATTCCGAAGCTGCTTACGATGTTCTTGAGGATTCTTTTATCGGATTCGTTGCTACAAATAAGGTTATCGATACCGCTACCGAGAGTACAAAACCAGATTCCATTGTTCCACTTCCACCTACAAAAGAAGGCTTGGAGGAATTGAAAGAAAATGGACCCGCAAACTCTCTACCCGTTTATGCCAATACTGGGATGTCCACGGAAGACGATTTGAATAAGGAGACAGATGTTGTGAACGATTATAAGACACACAAGTTCCTTGACCTAAACAAGCCATTGTTGATGCAAATCTGGCGTGGTGGGTTCAGCAAGGAGTTCTACTTGGAGCAAGTTCATCGACCTCGTCATTATAAGGGAGGAGAGTCTGCACCTCTTTTTGGGAATTTCCTTGAACCGCTATCAAAGACAGCTTGGTGGGTTGTGCCTATGGTTTGGGTTCCACCTGTCACCTACGGTACATACCTTGCAAGCAAAGGATTCAATAACATCGCCGGAGAAGCAGCGTACTGGTTCTTGGGTCTCTTCCTTTGGACTCTGGTCGAATACATTTTGCATCGATTTCTCTTCCACCTTGATAAGTACGTGTATATTCATACACCTCCCCTTTAAATTCGACAGCGAATATTAAGCTAATGTGTATCTCTAGATGGCTCCCAGATAACCGGGTGGCACTCACGCTTCATTTCTTACTTCACGGCATCCACCACTATTTACCAATGGATAAGTACCGATTGGTTATGCCTCCTACCCTCTTCATTGTTTTAGCGACTCCTTTCTGGAAGCTTGCACATACTGTGTTCTACTGGGATTGGTATGTGGCTACAGCAGTGTTCTGCGGAGGAATCTTTGGATACATCTGTTATGATTTGACACATTACTTCCTTCACCATCGCACACTGCCTTCGTACTGGAGACAATTGAAGAAGTACCATCTTCAACATCACTTCATGGATTACGAAAACGGATTCGGGGTTACCAGTCGATTCTGGGATTGCATCTTTGGAACTCAACTCGCACCTGCGCCAAAAACTGTATGAAGTGGAGACGGATAACGAATTTGTAAATGATGCAGCTGAACTAGGAAACAATGGTGTGTTTTTGGAATGACTTTGACGATATAGAACTATCAAGACATTCTGGTCTCGGCGTTCATGAATTAGGCTGGATACGGAGAGCAGGCTGGCCTTCCTAGAAGAATTAATAGTTTCGTAGCCTTTTTAATATCCTAATATAGACTTTTTACTTCGAAAAATCATAATTCGTTACCTTCGTATCGTATTTACTACCAAATATTTACAAATGTTTTACTCAATTCACCTTGACATATTGATCATGAACCAAAAACTTTGCGCCGCGGCCAGAATTATTTTGATCGTTCAAAACACGTGGTGCAGGTGCAATGATCAAGCTAAGAAGAAACACTAAACTGACTAATTCATGTTTTTCCCACCAGCCACTTTCTGTACAAGACAACAATTCTAACTTTTAAAAGTCTTTCACTAATTCCATATCCATCAATCTCTGACGGCTTCAAAAACCACTAGCCATCGTATTTTGTCTATCTAATTTGCCAAGCAATCATTTGGAACAAGAAAATCATCGAATTTGTAATTTGTCCATTCTCAGGCGAGTAACTACCCTCACCATGTCCGCCTTGGATGTCGAAGCCCTCTTGGATTCAACCGCAGCTGCTACTCCTGTTGAGCCAAACGGATCTACTAAGACTAAAGAATCCGATGACCGCCACAAGGGTGAGCGCAGTGAAAGACGCGACCGTGATAGACTTCGTGATGATAGCAGGGATCGCGACAGAGATAGAAAGCGCCGCGCTCGCAGCAGAGATAGAAACGAGAAAGATGGCACCTCAACCCCAACAAGTGAGCATGGAAGCGCAAAGGGTAGACGCAGAAGTAGAAGCCGAGATGATAATCGTCGACAACCTCGTCGCCGCAGAGATACCCCGGAAGAAAATGGCCGCAGGGATGGAGATTATTATAGAGGAGGTAGGGGTGGTGGGCGTCAACGCTCACGTACCAGAAGTCCCGATAGATATTACCGTCCTCGAGGTGATCGCCGTGACCGCGATGATGCAGACAAGCCTCGAGAAGAACGCCGGCCGAGGAGTCCCAAACGAGAAGGAACACCCCCCTTGACTGAAGATGAACGGGATAGGCGCACCGTTTTTGTGCAACAACTAGCAGCTCGTCTCAGAACTAAGGAACTCATCGCATTCTTTGAAAAGGTTGGCCCCGTTAAGGAGGCTCAGATTGTCAAGGACAGAGTCAGTGGTAGATCTAAAGGGTATGTATTTTCTTTATAATTCTTGCATGGCTTACTTGCTAACTTTGCACAGTGTGGGCTACGTTGAGTTTAAAAACGAAGAATCAGTTCCTGCTGCTATACAACTCACTGGACAGAGACTCCTAGGAATCCCAATCATTGCACAACTCACCGAGGCTGAGAAAAATCGACAAGTCCGCAATCCCGAAGCTACCACTAGTAACCCTAACCAAATTCCATTCCATCGACTATATGTGGGTAATATACATTTCAGCATCACTGAAAGCGATTTACAGAATGTATTTGAGCCATTTGGTGAGCTCGAATTTGTTCAATTGCAAAAAGAAGAGCAAGGACGTAGTCGAGGTTATGGATTTGTTCAGTAAGCTTTTCCCATGAAAATTCTTGTAGTTACGCTAACCAGTACAATAGGTTCCGTGATCCAAATCAAGCTAGAGAGGCGTTGGAGAAGATGAATGGGTTTGATCTTGCTGGCAGACCAATTCGTGTTGGTCTTGGAAACGATAAGTTCACTCCTGAATCTACCGCCAGTCTTCTGCAAAGATTCCATGGCCAAAGCCACCAACAACAATTCCAGGGTTCCGCATTTTCTGGCGCTGGTGGGCGTGGCCCTACCGCTGCTGGCGGCAGCAATTTCGATCGTGCTGGTGGTCGAGATAATGATAAAGGTGCGGGTGGTGCTAGTGCTTTGGACGACACTGACGTTGGCGGCGTGAACTTCAACAATTATAGTCGAGATGCATTGATGAGAAAACTCGCCAGAACAGATGATACCACGGTTGCGGCAAATCACGAAAGAAGAGAAGTATCAAAACCTAAAACAGAAACCAAAGCTTTACCAGTCAATGTCAACATGGCTAGTCGTTGTGTTGTACTTAAGAACATGTTCGATCCTACAGAGTTAGTAATATATCCCCTTCTGCCGATTCATCGCTAACCAATTTCGCAGAGAGGACGGTGAGAACTGGGAAAAGGAACTCGAGGATGATGTCCGCGCAGAAGCGGAAGAAAAATATGGCCACGTTGTTCACATTGCTTTAGATCCAAACTCCCAAGGAGATATTTATCTCAAATTCGATCGAGTACAAGGAGGAGAGAATGCCATTAAGGGTCTGAATGGAAGATATTTCGGTGGGCGAATGATTAGCGCTACTCCTGTTGTGGATGCAGTCTACAGCAGTTTGTTCTCTCGCACAAAGGCTATGTGATATGCTAATAATGGCCTACACTCCACTTGTATTAGGGTAACATCTGGTAAGATACAAACCCATCTTTTACATACCTAAGACTAATGATGAGTAGATTTTTAATCACAGAAATCTCTATGCGATAGGCATACCTTCGAAAAACCTCGCAATACTTCGATTATTTGAAGCAGTAATCACCTCTATGTTTACAATGCATAATTCAAGTATCCAAGATGATCCGGACTTGAAACTCGCTTCAAGAACCTCAAGCAAACGTCCAAAAACATTGCTGATTTCTTTGTGCAGGAGCTTCTTCTCAAGCCTTACCCTCTGCCTATGATTCCACTGATTGCACATAGGAACACTCTTTACTGTACACAAATTCACTCATTTTCATTTCATTTTGGCATGCAAGCTTTTGGGTTTGATGGTAGCACACTTTTAGTTAGATGGAGTAATAAAATGATCACCATGACCTCCCATCGATATTCATTATGTGATGATTGTGGTGCTGTTGACCAACGCAACCTGACTGCAGACCAAATATATGTCAAGCTACAAACCACATTTTCGGTTAAGGCTCTGCAAGTGCTAGGACCTATTTCAGCATTACTCCCTTGATTGAGCTTTAAACCATTGTAGACATTATTTTTCAGCCAAGAAATCTGTGGTGTGTACGCCAGGTTCTTTTGAATGTTTCTTTTTGAAGCGATTTTCCTCATTTCACGCTTGAAACCTTTTTACCAGCTATGATAGTATCTAATTGACAATGTCCATTTAAGGTTCGACACTAAGCGAAGTCTTGATATTTATGACAATCGGTCGTGAGAGAGCTCTTATTAGATAAGCAGGAACGGCCAGTTCAGGAAACCACTGTGGTCTTACAAATGACGCCGGTTGCAACGATTGGAGTTCCAAGAAGGCAACACTTAGCGAAGACTAGGTATATGTGGGTTTGCAGGACTGCGTCAGTGCTACTTGGTAGTGAACGGTCAACTAAATCCATTTGCTCATGGGTTTAGCTCTCACAGTATTTGTTTGTAGGGAATAGAAGCCGTCGGTGCCTCTCTTTAATGCTCAACTCTGTTCTTGACCTAGCGGTAGAGACTTCTTCTCCGAGTTGTATCTTCCTTAGCGAGGTTCTAACTTCGTGGAGATGAGAAAAGCAATTGTGAGAGGAAGCACCAGTGTTGCGCGCGATTATTAGAAAGTTTTCAACATGTGCTTCACTGACTACTATTTAGTATGCAACTGCGTGTCTAAAACTTTGTCTAAGGAATGAGCCTCATATTCGGGCTGTCAGATGTAGAATGCACATTTTAGAAAACAAAATCAAGGACTAAAAGTATTGCCAGGGGTTTCGCTGAAAAGAATTCGAGCAGCAAAGATGCCAATATTAAGTAGATTACGAGCCTCTCTCTGAAAAGAGTAAACTTGTAGTCAGGACCTCCCATGGTCATCGTCAACTGTTCACCTCAAATCAGCTTAACGTTGCACAAGACACAATGCGTTTCACAATCTGCGAATGTTTGCCACTTTGCTTAGAGCTGCCATAGGACCATTCTTCAATCCTAGCCTTCACGATAGCAAGCGCCAACAGTTTAATGGGGTGTAATTCCCAAGTTTCGCTCCAAACTAGCTCCGGATGTGATAGCTCTGGAATTAACGATCGTTTGTTGCACAGCGAACCTCCAAAACGATACAGACAAGTAACAGCCGAAGCCAGCTCAAAAAAACAGCCATCCTCAAGTAAAATATCTCAGCACCTCTCTTATTACTTCACAGCTCATAATCAATATAAAGGAGGCATGTGGGGTTCAATCAATTCACCTCCACAACTCCGCCACAATTACCCCACAATCCCAACACGCCACACCAACCGAACACATCACCTCGACTTTGACAACAATGAGTACAAACCCTCGATGTCAAACAGAAAAAGATCGAGGATGTAAAAAAGCAAAACGGAGGCATGATTAAAAGCTTCGTTGCGCCAACGGGGAATCGAACCCCGGGCCCAAGCAAACTCGTGAAGATGTACATCTTGACATGGGAAGCTTGGATTTTACCACTAAACCATTGGCGCTAGTATTGTAGTAGTCAGTATCTCAAATTTGAGTATATATACACTTTTGTCTACCGCTGCTTTTGACGTATCTTCCGCAAATTTGTTTCCAATAATGGGCTATGAATGATTTTATCTAAGTAAGGCAAATTTTTCTTTGATACCAACAATGCTTTTCATTTTCTATTGGAAATATCACTAAGTCCTCATCACTTTATTGACGCGGTAGGCCATAGATACGATCGAGAGAGCTTATGTGAAACTATGCATATCACGTGTCACATATCAAATATCTTCTCAGGATTAAGAGACAGAAAGACCTCAATCATATTGAGGCAGGGAATTGCTACTAGGTTCGCAAATACTCAGACGCATAACTTCAAGAGCTTGCGCGAGACGCAAATTGAGTCCCCATTTGGAGAATCACGTGGAAGTCCTGCTCTTCAACCCTTTCTTGGGTCTGCGACCAAGCTGTTTGGTTACATGAATACACTGCGAGCACTTTTTGAAGTCATGATCTGTATTGGCAGGTACTTAGGGCTTTGGGAGACGAGAACCACGGCGTTGAGCCAGGAACTTTGATGACAAGTTTTAGAATTTGGCTACACAATGAAAACGAAATAGTTACTTTAACGGTAGCAAATACCGGCGATATTGATCTTTCCAGAGATGAGTACATAATTATAGCTTATCAGTTTCTCTTCACACTAAACTTCCAGATAAAAGTCTCTACTTGCAAACAGCGACATTCTCAGATCTTCAAATCCAGTAAACAACTAACTTGTAAAACCACATCGCATTGCCAGATGTTCGGTAACTTCTCAACTCCCCTTACGTCGTTGAACCCACCGAGAATCGGCGTTCGTAACAATTGTTGTGTTGGTATCGATACATACACCACTGCTCGATGTCCTCAATTTGATCACATCTACCAACGATCTTACACGATGAGAGGTACTTACAAGCTGTGAATAAAGAGTCTTTCCCTATTTATTTGTTGTTTATGAACAATGTGCTTACTTTAGCCTCTGGGATACATGTGAAAAGTCACCGAGTCAATAGAGTTGACATTATCCAGCTGTTAGTCGTTGGCATCGTGGAAATTGACGAGTTTGTGGATTATGATTAAGCCAAATGACAGACTTTGTGAGTTACTTCAAAGTACTTTCTCTGCATGTTCTTTACCCACGCATCATTCCGAAAGTCACATTTCCAATCTCATCACTTCATCACTCCAACACCCATCACTATACCCCAATAATCTACATCATGCCCGCCCTAACCGAGACCAACAACGACAACGTCATTTTCGAGACCGGCAAAAGCGAGACCGGCAAAATCGAGACCGAGCGACTAGCTCTCTAGCACGAGATCGTTAAAAACCACTTCAAAAACCACTTCAAAAACCTAGTCAAAGCCCCCATCGACCTCTCCAAGCCTGGACTCAAGATTCTCGATCAAGCTACTGCAGACGGTAAGTTCCCTATCCTCATTTCCCACAACCACTCAAAACAAACCAACATTTAACAACCCCCAGGTATCTGGCTCAAAGACGTCGCCGCCTCTTCTCCAGCCCAACACGAATACATCGGAACCGACATCGTAGGATCCTACTACGCCTCTCCTTCTCCCACCCCCGCACTTCACCTTCTTCTCGCAATCCATGACTTCCGACTGGCCCTCCGACCTCACCTCCACCTTCAATCTAGTACATTCACGCTTTGCTCTTCCAGATGCAGGAACACACTCTCCACGTTCCGTGGTCTCTCGACTCGCCGCGCTCGTAAAACCAGGTGGATATATTCAGCAATCCGAAATGGTGTTTACCCCCTGGCCGTCCAACGGTCCGGCGATGAAACAATTCCAACAAGCATATATCAATCTATTTACCATAGTTATTGGAGGACAAGAACTCAAGCACTTGTATAATATTGAGAAATGGTATCACGAGATGGGACTAGAAGATGTGCAGTATGAAATCTCTACGATTCCCATTGGAGCAAAAGCGGAGAGTGAGAGGATTAGGGTTATAAGTATTGAGATTTTTGGGTTGACTTGTTAGGGATTGGTGGATACTACGAAGGGGGAGTCTTTTTGTATATTCTATGGATGACAGTGGGAGATGACTTGCTTATGATTCCTATCTAGTATTGCCATCTATACCTATCTCGCCGGAAAGACTTGCCACATTGCCCCAGCGACTTCGCAAGGAATTGACAGAAATTGGTGGGACTTGGCAACCATTTGCCATCTGGGCTCGTAAAAGGGTATAGAACGATGCTCTTGCGCGAAGTCACAATTAGTAGAGTTGGAAGACAATTTGAACATTAGGGAGCAAAGACAATTTGAGAAACAAAACTTTTGATTCTTGGATTTGAGTGACGATCATGATGGTACATTTTATATATAACTCCTATTTTCTTTGACGTCGAGTCCATGCTAGATCCATCCATCATTAGAGCATGGGACACGCAATAATTTTACAATGCTTTAAATCCACTCATACAATTCTCTAATTTGACTTTTCCTCGCTAGTCTCTTCTACTGATCTCATCATTTCATTGTTCTCCTCAGCCGCCCTCTTCATCTCCTCATACCCTTCGTAAACACCAACCTCCTTTGGCTCCTCTCTAAATTCCAACGTCTTGACTGGTTCATTCGCCTCCTTCTCCGTAATCCTCTGCCTCCATGCCCGACCACTTTGTGCCAAGTACTTCAAATGCGCAATAAATTTACTATTTCTTTCCTCTGCCCATTTGGTGTCGGGCTCATCTGATCTTCTCAAAGCTGTCTTTCTTCTTAATTGGGTTGCTTTATAAAGATTCATAGCCCTTTCATGATCGGGAATTTCAGACAATGCGTATTCAACGACCCATTTATCATCTTTCGTCAGCTTTTCCGGTCGTACTACGTAGCTGTCATTGACCTTGTTGCGAATGGCAAGATGCATTGCTAAAATCTCTTTCTCGGGTTCTTCCTCTGGAAGAATTGACTCGACATCTGACGTTAATGTCTTGTCGTTGGTGTTATCTGTTTCATTTGAAGTGAAAGACTCATCCGTTGAGCTTTCTTGAGACTCTGATGACTCATGATTTGATTCATCGAAATCCGAAGTTTCATCGGCCGAGTCAATTAGTAGATCCTCATTTTCAACAAGTTCCGGCTCGCGAGCTTCAGATGCTTCGAAGTTGCTGTTTTGAGTCTCCGAGGTTTCTTCAGCTGGGTCGACGAGAAGACCTTCTTGAATGACTGTTTCCTCAATGGCAATTTCCCTAAGGTCGCTAGGTTTTGCTTCTCCACTTAAGTCTTCGAGTTCCTTTCCGGCGTCTCTCTCTTCAGTTTCCTCTTCTTCCTCTTCCTCCCCGTCGTCATCCTCTTCTTCTTCTTCATCCTCATCCTCTTCCTCTTCCTCTTCCTCTCCTTCTTCCTCATCATCCTCATCATCCTCCTCATCGTTCTCTTCATCGGCATCCTCATCCGCCTCTGCAGTAGTCTTTTCCATATCCTCATCGTGCTCTGTTTCCTCAATTTCTTCTATAATATCATCTGTCTCCTCATCGGCATCGACATTATCTTCTTTCCACAATTTATTTTCGCTCTCTCTCGCAGCATCAGTTTCACCTTGTTCATTATAAGATGAGGTTGAAAGGAACTCTTCCACACGTTGTTCCACCTCATCCAATGTCAAACCAGTGACATCATGATGCTCAACCAAGCTCTCAGCGATTTCCTTTGCACTCTTGATCTCAAATTCATCATTTTCCATACTTTCTTCAATCTTAGCGCGGAGATCTTCCCATTCAGCATTCTTTTTCTCTTCCAACTGCTCTTCCTCTCCCTTCTCACCGTGTAGGCCAAGAACGCGAGCTTCGAATGCTTCAATCTCTGCTTTGTTTGTATCTTGTATCTTTTGTATCTCTTCCTCTTCCATAGGCTCAGCAAAAATGTACATAAATGGCGTCTCGACATTACCACGAGTTTCGAAATGTAAACGTAATGATTTTCCTGGAAATCTGGCAGTTGCGCGATCTAAGGCTTTGTTGAGCAAATCAACGCTAAGTTTGAATTCCCTATCTCCAGTGGTGGTATCCGTCGTTCCGTGAATAGTATTGTCTAATTCTGGTAAACTGATATATTGGAAACCAAAAATTCGCTCAATGTTGTGATATGCAACAAAAATACCGTCCATACGACCCATTCTGACTTGTAGAGAGTACTTTAAGAATGCAGCTCTGATCATATCAAAGTACTCTCGTTCAAAAGAATTATATTCGCCATGAAGGCTAAAGATCTCGTAGCCACTTCCTTCTGCGTAGTTTTCAATATCCATGCGAATAGAGATTACAGCTCGAGTCTTTAGATCAAACATGCCACTTCCTGGAAGGCGGGGATCGTGGGCGTCGAGTTGGGATCGCATAAGGAAATCGCCCATAGTAGTATAATGGAAGGATTCAACTTCGTTACGTTGATCTTCTGTAATTGAATTCGAGTTCTCTTTTCGATACTGTTCAAACTCTTCTTTCGGCAAAGTGAGAAGCTTCTCCATTGATTTTCCAAGCATACTCAATATATTGGCTGTATCAAACTGCTTATCCGCATCAATAGCATAAACTCCATCCCTCTCCCTTAAAAATACTGCCGATGGACCTCGCTGGAGAGCAGTGAAGGAATTGAATTCAACAGGGAAATTTTGGGATAGCATGCTTGTATTGATCGGCCTCCACTGTGATAGCAAGAAATGGAAATGGGCAAGAGATGCCGACATACTTGAAGTTGAACCTGTATACTTCCTCTTTTCATGTTTGGCAGTCTCAATCAATGCTTCATCCCTCGAAGAAGTGACATATTGTTTCAGAGCGGTGAAGTCGAATTCACTGACAGGCATAATCTTCTGTAAGTAAGGGTCGAAGTTGAACACTCGTGAACGAGGATCCTGGAGATGATATACTCCAGGGTTAAAAAGGGCCCTTTCAAGTCCATATGATAGTCCAGGGACTGGAGGTTGTTTCTTCTGTACTGGTACTAGCTGAAGAGAATCTGCGTCTACCGACTTTACTTCAAATGCAGTTGTACCGGGAGACTTTCTCATTGGACCTGTCTTGATTGATTTACCCTTTGCAGGCGCAGCCTTTTCGCGACTTGGTTTCTGCTCCTTGGCAGATTTAGACTTTCTATCCACAATCCTCCTAACCGGAGCTTGAGGAATAGATTCAAACGAAGCCAGCATTCCAGCTAGATTAGTTGATGAGCTCACAGCTTCAGAAATCATATCCTCCTTTTTTGGCCTTGGCCTATTGACAAGAGATGCACGCAATTCTTTCATAACTTGAGTCCGGTCTGTGGTAGTTAAGCCTCCTTTCTGAATAAGATCGACGAGATCCTTTCTTGCGGCGGCTTCTCCCTTTTCAGCTACCATAGTTTCGTAGATGGAATGTAGCTGCCAAGGGGCTATCTTCAGATTCTTCGTGTCATCATGGGCAGCACTATTGGTTTCAATTTTTCGGATCAAGCTCTTCGAGCTGGTCGAATTGACATAATTGATAAGTTTTTGCTTGACCTTTTTGATTCGATCCTTCGACTCAATTTCTTCTTCGTTTATCTTTTTGGGTGTTACATTACCACTTGCAGTCTTTGATTTGGGCGTGCCCTTCTTCGCATTCTTCTTCGTCTTCGATTTTGATTTTGAGCCAGAGTCTTTGATGTTCGTTTGATTCCCATCTTTGGAATTTATATCCCCTTGGCCCAAGGTAGCCTGCTGCTGTTTGCCCTTCTCTTGCTCATTGACCTGCTTCGCCGGTTTCTTCTTTTTCGACTTCGCGACTCTTTTTGCTTTCGACGCTTCCATTAAACTTTGCAGAGCAGTTGAACCTGCTGTTTGAGTATCACCACTATCTTTCGGAGCATTATCGACCTTCTTTGTGTCAGCATTTGTATTTTTCTTCTTGTAATTAAGTCGTGTTGTCGAAAAGGTGGCGGCATTTCGAGGTGCCCGCGGCGCGCCCCGTATAGCATTTGAGTATAGAGGAAGAATGTCTGAAGCTCCAAGAAGTTTCGAGAGGCATGAGGTACAGACGTATGGTTGCTGCAGCTTAGGAGTCCGCCGACTTAGAGAGACAAACATGAGAATGATTTAGAGAATAAACCTCTTTTGTTCATACAATTAACTGGACTTGTTCCTTATCGCCTATGATCTCGATTTTTTTTTCTCGATTGTCTCCCACCTCTATCTTAGCGTACTTTTACGGACAGGGCGTGCAGGGGCACCAATACCCTTACTCCACAGGAAAAATGATCCCCATTCTGAAATTAATTCACCGAAGCTCAATTAGAGATCAAGTTTTTTTCACAAAGATACTGAGAGAGGTCAAGCTTTGGAGGAGCTGGGGAGAAATTGGGGCACTTTTCCATTATGATTAGATCACATACATGTATTGCATATAGCACAGTATATTTTGATAGAGATCAACACCACTAGAGCAACCAAAAGTGATCAAAGTACATTTCCATTATCATTGACCCATAATACAAATCAATCAATCATGTGGAGTCTCATGCCACAATATCCGCACATTTATCTTAAACACCGTCTCAGCGCCAATCGTAACAGAATCAAGCAAATGGGTATATGCGTAGAGAGCATCCGGTTTTCTCAAGCCAAACGCCCACCAATTCCAGCCATGCAACACCGTTAATGAAACCTTCCACCGTGCTCTTTATAGCATGCACCTATACCTTTCCCATAACACCGTATCCATCCAAAAGAAAGCAAGATTCGAGGCAATTAATGTCCTGGTAAAGCTTCGTGTGCTACAGCACAAGCTTCTTCAAAGGTCGCCTGAGCCTCATTTCTCTTTCCAGAGATGTCATAGAATTGGGCTAATAACCCCTCGGCAACAGAAACCCACAACTTGTTCTTGCTATGATTAGCTTGCTTTAGTGCAGCTAAGGCACTCTTTTCTGCTTGATCCCCTAGACAGTTATTGAAGAATTTACTGCACATGATGTTAAGGACAAGACATAAGAATTGCGTGTTGTGCGAAGCCTTTGCCTTAGCTAAAGCCGCAGACAAGTGATTTTTAGTCTCGTGAATCATGGCGGAATTTCCGGTCTTGACAGTTGCCCTAAGTATTGAAAATGCTGTCTGGATATCTTTGGTAGGATGATTGACGCAATATGGCTCGAGTTTCGAAATAAGGGTAACATTCTCGATGGGATCTTGCCAAATTTCATCTTGTAGAATCGAGAGGACATTAAGAGCGGCAAGAATTGCAACATCACGCTCAACCTGATCTTCGGAGGACAAATCGTACAATTGAAATGTCTCATGCTGGAAGACTTTCAAAGCAGCCTTCAAATCTCCAGTTCCCTGAAAATAGACCCCCTCGAGATAAAAAGTAAGAGTTCCTAGTCGCCCTGACAAAGGAATTTCAAACCTTTCTGCAGCAGCTGTTATACAAGCCAAAGACTCTTTTACTTGTGACCAATTACCTACAGCAGCGCAACAGAATGCCATGTATATGTGCAAATAACATAGAATGTGGCCACGCCACTGTTGTTTGGCGACGATCTCGGACAATAGACCAGGGGAGACTCTGGATGCTCGAAATTCATCTCCTGCAATAAATTTTAGCATTGATGTATAGAAGAGAAAAATGCCGATTACCTATAATTCTGCCTAGACCTTCTTTGAGAAATCTTACGGCTTTTTGATCGAGGGGATTTTTGTGCATTAAAACTATTCCTGATAGTAGATAACTGTAATCATGTTAGAAAGTCTCAGAGCGACTCTAAAAGCGTGTGATACGAACGTTAAGGCATATGCATCTCTCTTATTCAAAAATGACATGACGATCTGGCCTCGTCCATCTTCCCTTGTACTCAAAACATTTCGGGTATCTTGACTAATGAGATTTTTGACTTTGTGAACGCCGTCTATAGGTATAGTCAGGGTGTCATTTTCGATGCTCCATGCCGTGTTTTTTAATAAATCATCCATAACCATCTGCATTGCCCTCAAAGTACTCAGCATCTGAGCTGGATCTCCACGAAGTATACTACAAATAACATCAAGGATATGAGTAAGACCAATAAGCTGAGGTATGCTGCTTCTGTTATCAAGCTGATAGGTTCGTGCAGCAGCAATAGCTCGTTGAACATGCTCAATTCCATCTACTCCGGCGGACTTCAAGTGGGCAATAGCTTCCATAAGAGATGCAACAATGTAAACAGAACGATCTCCCTGTTGGTTTGCAAGGGTTGCAATGCCCCGAATGTTTTGTATGGCTGCATGATTATCTGTTGGGGTCCTTAATTGCAAAGCATGTGAAGCTCTGAGAAATCGGAATACATAGACCCAAGAATTGTGTTGATAGCTAATAATGGTCAGCGAATATAGAAAATATACTCGAAACATTTACATACGCCTGCGCATCGGAGATATGGCTGTCAAGTGTTTTCATGGCTGCTTTTGGATTCTTCTCGAACATCAACCGAGCGAATAAGAACTGCATTACATATTTGAGGTCGTAGTAGTGATTCTAACCTCATATTAGAAACTTTAGCCATGAAAAGAAAAGTGTGTCATACTCTTTCGCAAAGTATTATGCCTTGACTAAGCATGGTCTCTGCCTCTGCATAGTTGTTCGTCTCTTCGTATATAATCCCGGCAATCCGCAGTCGAACTTTAGCCTCCAATCTTGCAGGAAGCTTCAATTGCTTCAAAGCAATAGTCAAACATTCCAATCCCATAGTAATCAGTTTGTGATATGCGTGAACGTTTTCTTCCGTCACGGCGATCGCAACTGCTGGTGCAAGTTCATGCGCTGCGCCGAAATACTCCTCTGCCAGCGAGATCAAAAGTAGAGGATAATCAAGTTGCGTCGGGGGTTTCGTGTGGGCTACTTGAGGATTTGTTTGCTCCATTGGCATGTTTGACTGAGGTAGTATGCGATGTTGTGGGGCGCGTTGATTGAGAGGATATTGTTGCTGAATGGGTTGTGGGATTTGAACCTGAACCTGAACTTGAGGTTGAGGTTGAGGTTGAGGTTGAGGTTGAGGTTGATAATACTGCGACGCGGTGGATGGAGCCGTATGAAAATTGTCGGGCGCATATCCAGTCGCGGGCATATTGTATGGAAGTTGAACATTTGGATTCCAATACGATCTTTGATCCTGCTGCATAGCTCCTCCCATCTGGTATTGTTGCACGCTTGCACCGTTCTGCATCATCATACCGTTCCTATCATATTGAGGCGAATTGTCCTGCGGTGGGTATGCGTTTGGATCATACCCGGGCCAAATATTGGGCATGCCATGATTTCGAGACATAACTCGCCCCTCTTTTGAATAACCCTCAGTCACAATATATCCGCGCGGTGGTGAAATATAAGAGATAAGATAAATATAAATGAATGTTCACGAGCATTTCCAGAACATTGAAAGGATGAATGACATAAGAACACTCTGCAAGGATGCTAACTAGATGATCAGAGTCAACCAATGAGAATTGATGGGTTTCACCGAGATCCTTCCCGATAATCTCCATGAGTTTTCAGCACAATTTTGCAAGTGGGTGTTGTGGGTGTTAAGCAAAAGGAGGTCTGTACATCTGCTGGCGTGTGTGCTTCACTACTTATAATCTGTTCAATCTCCTTCTTTTGTTTCTTGTACCAATTTCAATTTGTTTCCTTTTCAATCGATGTGTGTATATCTAGTACAATCTATCAATCTATCAATCTGTCTTTCGGCATCACAAAAAGCGACCATTTCACGCCCCGTTACAGTTCTAGAAGCTTTTTAATAAAAGTCATTCATAAACTAATTAGGATGGAGTGGCTTGGACATGCGAAGATTGGGTTTACCCATCCTCCAAACCCCATAAACCTCAAAAGTAAAGACGGTTCTACAACAGATCTTCTCAAAATATGTGAAGAGTCAACGCCGCCATGTCGTCTCAACCCCCTTTTATTCAATGGTAATGGAATTCCTTTTTGCAATGAATGGTTTGGACGGAAAGTGACTAACTCCATTAGGTCACATGCAAACGTTCTGGACCGTTGTAAAGAACGATGGACCTCCCATTTACTATAAACGAAAGTTGTTTGAGAATGAGGATCCAGCTTTTGAAGGCTCTTTTGCTGTTGATTTCGTAGTTCATGAGCCATATAGCGAGGTTGATGATACTTTGCCTATTCGTACTACATACTATACGGATGAAGAGTTCTCAGGAATTGCGTCTTTAGATAGCCGACCAATGCTCGTGACTTTACATGGACTTTCCGGTGGTTCTTACGAGATCTATCTTAAGCATGTATTGGAGCCTTTGGTTGGAGCCGATCATGCTTCAAAATGGGAGGCATGTGTTATCAATAGTCGTGGATGTGCCAAACATAAAATCACGAGCAGTGTACTGTACAATGCAAGAGCTACATGGGATACTCGTCAGACGATTGCTTGGCTGAGAAAGACCTTTCCCAACAGACCTTTGTTCGGTATCGGTTTCTCTCTAGGAGCCAACATTCTTACCAATGTATGTTTCTCAATTGTTTCCATTCTACTTCATCTTCCATAGTTTTACATATTCTCCCCCCCCCCTCTGCCGTTTGCCTCTTCGATTTTGCCCTGGTTTCTACGTATCCTCTGATTTATACCTTGACGTTATTAACACATCCTAGTATATCGCCGAAGAAGGAGATGCATGCGTCCTCAAAGCCGCCGTCGTCTGTTCCAACCCCTGGAACTTAGATGCCGGATCACTCGCTCTCCAAAGAACCTGGCTTGGAAGAGAAGTTTACTCCAAGACCATGGGTAGCAATATGAAAAGACTCGTTGAACTCCATCATGACCAGATCATCAAAAATCCCAAGATTGATTTCGACAAAATCAGGAACATTACCTATCTGCACGAATTCGATCGACAAATCCAAGGTCCTGCTTGGGGTTACCCTACGGAGGGTGCATACTACAGAGACGCTTCATCAACAGATTCGCTACTGGCTGTGAAAATTCCTTTCTTTGCTATAAATGCTGAGGATGACCCTGTAAGTATCACTCACTCCTCTTGGTCCTCAATACCTACTAACATATCTACAGATCGCTACCGGTGAATGCTTACCACGTGAAGAAATCAAGAAGAATCCATACACAGTGCTGTGTACCACATCTCTAGGTGGCCACTTATCATGGTTTGAAATCGGCGGTCACAGGTGGCATGCTCGCCCAGTAAGTTGAAGCTTTTTCGATTCATATAACTACCACTAATCAAATGCAGTGTGTCAACTTCCTAAACAAAATGGCTTTTGAGGTACAGCTTGACACCATTGTTCCTCCCGACGCACACGATTCCGCTGATCTGAGTCCACCTCGCCCTAAATTTCAACCAATGGTTCGAAAATGGACTTGAGGTGCCGCTATCACAAGCAACCCGAATTAAAGATATTGGAGTAGAGCGAGGCAGGTTTTATAGACTTTATTTAGACATCGTAGCAATTCTCAAACACAGTAATAATCTAATGTCAATACACCGCTGGTATACCTCAAATGCCATTTTTAATCCTCGTCCGACCCAAGTTGCATTCGCCATAACGCCCGAATATAATTATGCCTGCCTGCCTGTCTTTCCCACAATGATAATCTTCAATTGATAATCCGTAATTCGACCTTTCAAGCAAACGAAACGGTCTTCTTTTTAGGCTTCAAAGGTTTCGTTCCAGCCAATGCTTCTCCCCTCACATTATCACCCTCATCGTCTCCTCCTCTATTTCTCTTTTTCCTCAAACCCTGCTTCATTTCACTTAATTTTTCCTTTTGTAGCTGCTGCTTTCTCTCATGCTCTGCCTTTCTCGCCTCTCGAATCTCTTCCATCTGTCGGGCTCTCATCATCTTACTCTCGATTTGGCCATCCTTGTCTGCGTTTACCATTGCGAGGATCGTCATCATGGATTCCTATTTGCGCAAGTGATTAGTCCAAGTTCCTCATCTAAACAACTGATCAACCCAATCTCTCAACTCCAATATCAAATTTCCCTTCTCATCCCACACACTCCAAGACAAAAAAAATCAAAGAGAAAAAACCCACCCTATCATCCACAAAAACCTTCCCCTTCTTCTTTCCCTTCGGCTTCTCTACTCCCACTGGTGTAATCATATTCAGCGCCGGGATACCCAATTCCTTCTCCGTATAAACTCTCCTCTTCTTTTTCAACGTCGCCAATTTACTTCCTTGCTTCTGTTGTTTTGGCGGGGCTCCCTTAGACTGTGTAGCCTTTTTGCCTTTCGATTTCGAGACTCCGTCGCTTTGAGCTCGAGAAACGGTTTTGCTGTTGCGGATTCCAGAGCCGTTTGCAGCATGCTTGGATGCATTTTTGTTTTTTACGGTACTGGTGCGGGAAGGCGCCATTGTGATGGTAGTTGGATTGAATGGTGTTGTGAAGAGGAATGTTTGGTGATAGGATTTGATATGCGATAAAAGATTTACTGATATGCGATGGTTTGATGGAAATTTACATTTTTTTGCCAAGAGAAGCGGCGAGCTAGCGGACGGGGTGGAGCAATTAATGGCCCCCCGCGAAACTTTAGAGGCACCCTTCGAGCCTACTAGACAATTATTTTGATGAATTGATGTTCAGAAGCCGTTTACTTTAGGAGTCTGGAGGTAAATCAGAAATGCAGGCACCCAGTATACGAAATACAAATATATATATATATGTTTTTTCTTCTAATGCTAGATTCGGATTTCTATAAATGGCTTGGTATATTTTTTAAACCCTCCTAGTTAACTTAGATTCTTCTAGCCATTCTTACAGCCATCCAATATCTGAGTTCAACATGTCCATTCTTGACAAGCCAAAATCCCACACTAAATATCTCTTTTGATATCATTACATTCTCCCCTCAAGTGCTCAAAGTACCCTTTGTACTTGGAACCTCACCCTCTCTGCCCGCTACTATCGAAGTAGCCTGTCTAACGGCCACAGCCAATGCCTTGAACGCACTCTCCGCTCTGTGGTGATCGTTATCACCCCTCAAACAATCCACATGTAATGTGATTCTTGCGCCCTGTGCAAAACTCTGCAGACAATGTGGGATCATTTCACAACTCAAATCTCCAATCTTCTCTCTCTTGAGTCCCAAATCTATCACACTGAATGGACGATTCGAAATATCGACCACGGCTCGCGAAAGTGCTTCATCGAGGGGACAGTATGCGGATCCAAAACGTGCGATGCCTACAGGGGTACCGAGGGCTTTTGCAAATGATGTGCCGAGTGCGATACAGACATCTTCAGCGGTATGGTGGTCATCGACTAAAATTTAAATTAGCATTTGCACAGCCAAAGACACATGGCGCAGTAGAACGAATGAGAAGACAAAAAAACATACTGTGTAAATCTCCTTTGCAGTTGATCGCTAAACTCCAACCAGCATGCTTTGCCAAAGCATGCAACATATGATCCAAAAATCCAATTCCAGTATGGATAGCAATGTGTTGTGATTTTGATACCTGGGAAGCATGTCCCTCTTCACCACTCAGCAATTTCTTATCGGTATCCGCTGGGAACTCTCCTCCATCGAGGTTGATTGCCAGTTGAATACTAGTCTCATTTGTATCGCGCGCAAGCGCCGTTGATCTAACTGGAGCCATTGTTGTGATTGAGATATTGAGTAAAATTTGTGATGAAGGGGCTATGTATTATATCACACTTCAACTACAAACTGATACTGACTCCAAAAAATTATATCGGTCGGACTATTGATCGGAATGAGCCGAGGCGGGACCATGAAATAATGACGTTCCAATCAAAGCCCACGGGATTTGAAATCCTATGATCATTCTGATTCAACCTCGTTTTGCAGGAAGATAAATGCAAACATAAGGTTCAAAATGCACCAAACTGGTGGATTAAGAAACGAAGAAGCAAATGCTGCCGCTTGGGAAGCTGGAAAGGGTGCTGCAGTTGGCGGTGCAAAGGTAATTGACTCTTCATGCGTTTTTGGTGACCAGCTTTTCAGGATGTTTGTTGATTGTGATGCTGTAGTGGGGCTTGTTTGCAGCTGCATTGGGAGGTGCTGGATATGCTCTTTCTCCGATATACAAAGGATTGACGATTCAATTCAAAGTGTGAGTCAGATTGCAGTATGTTGGGGAATAATTAACTAATAATCGTGTGGATAGATTTATCCAGATGGGCTTTATGGTTATGGGAGGTTCTCTTGAAGCGGATCGTCGCATCAGAGAATATGAAGCAAAAGTACGAATGGAGAAACGTATGATCAGGGATCGAGCAGTGTGGAATCAGTTTGAAGAAGAATACGAGCAATCAGCTTCAAAGCAAGATAAATCAGGGTAAAATTGTACTCATAAGGAGTTTCCAGGGGTCTTGTACATAACCAATATCATATACGCCAGCTGTATCACAAAGCTCCAAACTCCCCAGTAATGCTTTTTCTCATATTTCCCATTATTTAGCAACGAATTGTCTTGAATCCATATTCAACTTGCAAAGCCTTGCGATACAACCACTCAATTGAAGTAGCGTCTGAACTCCTTCCAGAATCTTCATATGCGTGAATCCAATTTCCTTGATGAACTCTAATTTCGAATGCTCACTCAAAGTATTGACCGTCTTCGTAACCCTGAACATAGTGCTGATGATATCGTGACTCGAGTATCCCAAGCCCCACAACTCGTTCAACGTCTCCAATGCAGAATCAATCTTGCCCTCGTAGCATGCCTTTATCATAGCTTGTACTTTGATGGGGTGAGGTGAATCCACAACCTTGAAGACGTTATCTCCGTTGACGAGTCCAAAGCCAGCAAAAGTCGACTGCAAATTATTGATAGCCTGGCGCATATCTCCCTCGGCGCTGAAAACCAATGCAGCCAATCCATCATCACTATATTCCACCTTTTCTGTCTCGATGATTTGTAACAATCGTTTGACCACTTGCTGATCTGTCAGTCTTGCATATCGTAAAATTGCGCATCTGGATTGTAAAGGCTCGATAATCTTATTCGATTGATTGCATGCAAAAGCAAATCGTGTAGTCGAACTGTATATCTCCATTGTACGACGTAAGGCTTGTTGAGCTCCAGATGTCATACTATCTGCTTCATCGAGAATAACGAGTTTATGTCGACCAGCTGGGAGTGTGACTTTCTTTTGCGCAAATCCCTTGATGCGGTTGCGCACAACATCGATACCTAGTTGTCTATGTATTAATACAACTGGCCTATGAATCCACTGAAGACGACATACCTCTTTCGTCACTGGCGTTCAATTCTAATACTGCTTCCTTGTATGAGTCTCCTAACAGTTGCCTTGCCAGACACAGCACACTCGTCGTCTTTCCAATACCTGGCATACCAGAAATGATGACATGAGGCATATTTCCGTCTTTCGCTATAATCTTTAGTCGTTCTATTGTCTCCGTATTTCCTACTACATCATCGAGGAACACCGGCCGATATTTCTCAACCCTGATTGCTTCTAATCAGCCTACTGTTCTTGCAGGAGAATCTAAACAACATACCAGGGCAATTCATAATTTGTAACTCCATTAGTGTTGGCTTTCAGAGCTTTCTTTGCAGCACTAGTAGAGGACTCTCCAACTTCTGGGGCTTTGCTGGTCGTCATGTTGAGATTTTTGCTAAATGTTGAGTGAGGTTGACGCGTCGAAACTGGAGAGACGCGATTTTCAATTTACACGACCGTGAATATCCATGCCACGTGATCAATTCATTACCACAACCACAACTTTTGAAGGAACGCGATTCTTAATACAAAAAATGTAGACAATCACGAGCTTGACTAAACAGATTACATGAGACCATGCAATAGAAATGTTGAGATCATGGATTATAATCGTGTCCAATCTGTTAAGCAGCATTAACCTTAACCTCATCCTTCAGGTGAGCCACTCATCACGTCCATGCTATCATCTTTTTCTTTTTCGGCCGTCTTTCACAATGAGATTTGCGCCTTCTTCTTGAATTCAAACTTAAAAGTTCGAATTCGTAGAACCATGCAATGTCCATAGTTGGAAGGTCATGCTGATATAGCACAAGCACATCCACCATAATCACTTCGAATTCTAAGTCCAACTACCTAGGTAGTGTTGCTATAGATATTCGGTAAGTGACCGGACGACCTTTGTGATCGGAGAACAATTGAACTCACACTTCTGGAGACTTTTCACCATGTGAAATTCATCTGTTCCATACATCATACTCTCAAGTTCTCTTCAGATAAGCATCTAGACTTCACCTGATCGCCATCCAATCACACAAGAATCTTTCTCTCCCAAAATGTTTTGTTGCACGTCTGGTGTAAATTCTAACTTTTGCAATTCTAACATGTTTATGAATTTGAAAACGGAGTTGTAATCAAGATGCCCTCTTTATAACGAATTCAAAATTCGGGGAATTGGAAAGGGAAAAGAGGTAGCTGCAAAACTTTGATTTTTGTTTGATTTGATGCTTTTTTGTTTACATATGGCTCGTCTGATCTTGCATCTCGGTATATCAAGGAGCGAGGTGGAAGGGTGAATTGATCAAAGTAAAAGCGAAGTGTTGCTCAATGGTGCTATGTTGGGCGGGCACTCAGACAGCAAATTAGTGCAGACACCATATCAGAAAACAGCCCCTCGGTGGTTACAGAGAGGTTCAAAAACGAATAGCTCCAAGGAAACAAACAATTTTTTTGTTGCTATTATTGCCCAATATCTATTTCCTTTGCTCATAGTAGCCATTGTAGCGAAACTCTATTTCAACTATATCCTGACGGCCTCCAGAGTCTTCACAGCCTTCCAATAGAAGTCTTTTTCCATGCCCACTTCACTGAATTCTCGATTAGGATACCTCTTTTCTACCATCTCACGAAAGTCCCCCCCGTTCGCTTGTGCGCCTGTCCAAAAATCTCTCATGATCATTCCCCCGCAAGCAAAACAACACGCATCTCTATATGCATCATCCATTTCTGGGGCTAGTTCTTTCTTGGCAACTTCCCATATTGTTTTCCACCATGAGCATGCTGGGCCAAGTTTGTTGCCGCGAGGTTTATGGGCAAAGACTTCCCAACGAGTCATAGCAACACGTTCGGAGGGGGGAGCAAGGGCGGAGTTGCTGATCAAAAATGGCGCGGACATTAATCATAAATGTCTCTTGCAAAATTTACCGCACAACAATTTTTTGGAGGCATCGACTCCTGATTCAGTTACGCCACTTCGTTGGGCGATAATTATGAGAAGCCGCAGCTTGTCAGAACTCTATTGGCACTTGGTGCAAAGTTTGTACGTGAAACTTTTTTTTATGCTGTCTATAGCGAAAATGGGCGAAGACATAAAGAGAGTAGAAGGTAATTTATTGCTAGAAACGCCTTGCATAAATCTAGAGATCTTGGAGATATTCTTTGCTAGAGCTAGGGTTCCAGGAATATCATCAGATTTCTCGCAGACGCCTTTGGGTTTTTTGATCTGCGAGTATGACGGGCCCCAACGAAGATTACGTTGAGGATTTTAATGCTGGGAGAAGATTAGAAAGGCCCTCTCGCTTTGTTTACAATTGCAGCCTGGAAGTGAGGATGCTGCATTGTATGAGGCTGCGAGATTTGGCCATGTTGATATTGTTCCATATTTTCTTAGGGAACTTGAAAGTAATGTTCGGAGTCAAAATAAAGGGCTTACTTATTTTCATACTGCTGTTTTGTATGGACATATTGAGATGGTTGAATTTTTACTCTCTGAGGGAGCAGAAGCACATATCCGAACGGATGAACGGCGATTGACTTGTTATCATTTATTGATGATGAGACCAGGAGACGAAGAAAATTTACGTCGAATACTAGAATTACTGTCTAGTTGCAAGCCGGCGATTGAAGTCGATGCCAAAGAAACGACAAGTTCTCTCACAGCACTCCACATGGCAGTCAGGAATAGAAATCTTTACGGTGTGAAATAGCTCTTGAAAATGGGTGCAGACAAGAAGATTCCAGTGACTGATCAGCTAGAACTTCTATCTACTGGCGTCAGAGGATATCTTGGCCAAGTGAAAGATGGCCCTCGACTATTCACAGACCAACTTACAACTCTGGGAGAAGCGGTTGCTCAATATATCCGAGATGGCTACTACAAACCTCAATACAATTTTGCTCTTCTCGATGCGTTCCTTGCGAAAGACGACGGATTACTCTCGTTGCAAGAAATACTAGTTGACAGGGGCTCCAGTATCAGTCTTCTTCGTCTTTTATCCATTATCCCTTTCCCTACTCCAGATCGAAGTGTTTACGTGTGGAGTAAATCTATCACAGACGATAGCCACGATGAAGACACCCCCATAATTTCTAATCTCGAATGCCCATCACTCCTACAAAAAGTATTAAATCGCACTCCAGTACCTCTTACCAACACTCATGATCTGCACGGTGAAACACCTCTTCATTACGCTTGTGCTGCATGCGAAATCCACGCTATAGAGGCCCTCCTATCTGCAGGTGCGGATCCTCATGCTCAAAACAATTTTGGTCTTCGTCCTATTGACGTTTTATGCTGGACTAGAATTTACTGCGGAGGCCAAAGTTTTCGGGTTAGATTTAAAACTGGGCAACAGGAGTATCCAAAATATAGGCAAAGGAAATGAAAGAAAATCAAACGAAAGAATCGGCTGTTCACAAGGGATATACATTAGGAATGAAGAGGGCATTTGACGTCTTTGAAAATAGGGGATGTGTTGTAGATGCGAGGCTAAAGAGCTTAGCTCCAGTGTGGGGAGTTCTGAGAGAGAGATACGCGTCGGAGGAGAGAGGGCTGGGATTGAAAAAGATGAATGATCCGAAGGAGGAAAATGGGGGTGAAAAGGATAAACAGCACGACAAGAATGACAATGTTGACGAGGAAGTAGACGTCGACAAACATATAAGTAGAATATTCTTAGAGTCATCTCGCTATTGAGAGTTTACCCTCAGGGCTTGGCCCTTGAGTCATCGTAAAATTCTCACTCAGAGAACTCGAAGCGGACTTCAAGTTCAAATTTGTGGGTAGCTATTGAACTACTTCTTCTTCGATTCATACAATCGCAACTGCACTTGAATTTGTTCAGGCAAATTCAAGTCGAAGATGAGATATGCAACAAAACTTTTAATACTCTCGGTTATCGAAATGTATGAGGTTTCTGAACAGTGAAGACTCAAAGTGAGTAACACATTCGTTGAATTGAACCTTTAGCAAATCGACGGTTGGAGCGGCCGTAGATTATCGAACATTTAGATATGAAATAGATCTTCTGGCTCCAAGACTGATATTTGAATTAATGGGCAATGATCATAATAGCGATTCTACTGTTAATTTCTTGAGATACTCAGTTGGCGTTGGAAGTCAAAGGATCTCAACAATAATCCCGTGACATGCACATCATGTACCCCGCTTATCGGACGGCAGCACTATTCAAACATGAAGTAGAGATATCATCATTATATGAACGATCTATATAACTACAAATCAATAGACACCGCTTCTACTAAAGATGGAACGTGATGATAATTCTCTGGGTGCGATTGCATCTCGAGGTATAGTTACCTCACAACAAGACATTACACATGATCGAGAATCATTTACTCTCGATACCACTTACCCCGATATCGATCCCCGACAAATAGAATCAAAGCATAAACGGGCATCTGTCCTGATCGGTTCCGCAATCTTACAATTACCCATATGGGGCGAGTCTCCATCTCCTTCTCCCCAGACCTTCAACTAACAACCCACAGGTTTCGCCATGAACTACGGAGTCCTCCAAGAATACTACTCTACAAACTGGACGCTCAAAGGAAACCTCGCCATAACCGGTATCATTGGTACCACCTCCAACGGCGTCATGTACCTCTCTATGCCTTTTCTTTTTCTACTCTTCACCAAGCGCTGGGCCCGCTATCGACAAACCGCTGCTCTAGCCGGCGCCCTCCTCGCATGTCTCAGCTTCGTGCTCTCAGCATGGAGTACACACGTCTGGCATTTGGCAGTCACCCAAGGCATCTTCTCTTCATTCGGCTGCGCTCTAATATACAGTCCCACCACCTTATCCCTCGGAGAATGGTATTCTACCAGCAACCGCGCCGTTGCATATGGCATCGTCCTATCCTGCAAAAACATCGTCGGTTCCGCATGTCCATTTCTCCTACGCGTATTACTCGATACCTATGGATTTCGCACTACGTTGCGCATCTGGGCTGCTCTCCTTATTGGAACAAGTATCCCCGCTATCTATCTAATTCCCACGCATCCCTCCAACATTTCCTCGCCGCATCAACGAACCCGGAAAATTCCCTGGGAATTTCTCCATCATCGAACCTTCTGGATCTACACCATCGCCATCATTCTTCAAAGCAGCGGCTACGGAATCCCGCAAACATATCTCAATACCTACGCTCACGACGTGACACTGCTTTCTCAAACCACCGCGACTCTCCTACTCACCCTCTTCAATATCCCCGGCGTGCTGTCCTCCTTTTTCTTCGGATACCTAAGCGATAATAAACGATTCCCCCTCTCCGCCACAACCGTAACATCCATCTCCGCGCTCGCATCCGCGCTCTCCGCATTCTTATTCTGGGGTTTGACGTCCCAAGGAAGTATGGCACTACTGGTTCTCTTTTCTCTAACCTTTGGTTTTTTCGCCGGCGGGTACAGTGCGACATGGGGCGGGATTCTGAAGGAAATGGAGCGAGAAGCCGCGGAGAGGAATGAACCGATCGATACCGGTGTGCTCTATGGGCTTTTGAATGGAGCGAGAGGAATTGGTTATGTGAGTGGTGGGTTAGCGGGCGTGCCATTGTTGAAAGCGGGAAGTGTAGGAGCAGGCTTGGGTCATTTTGGGTATGGGACGAGTTATGGGCCGCTGATTATTTTCACGGGGTTGTCGTCTGTGTTTGGGGGTTGGGGATTGTTGTGGAAATGGAAGAAGTGGTTTCATTTTTCGTAGAGAGTTGGAGTTGTACATTGGGTAGATGGCAGTTTGACGAGCTTAGGTCCTTGTATATAGTGTTGAGGCTTCTTCCGAAAGATAGGACGTGGCTTGAGATTAAAGCTATTTGGCAAAAAATGTACTACCAGGAAAATAGATATGGAAATATAGAAACAATATCTCTATTTCATCAATCAACCATCCGCGAAACTCTCCCCATAAACCACTACGAATTTATTCAGCCAACCCGTCAAAAAATCCACACTCATGGCCCTTCATCCTATCCCCAACGATCTCACGCATACACAACTTCCGAAATTACACCCGGAAAGCTCCCTCAATTCCCTCTAATGAGCGTATAGTATGAGTTTAAGAACACATCTCGTCCTCATACCAAACAAAGAGCTATTCAGATACTCCATTACCAACATCCCATCTAGATCTCTCACTCGAAAATCTCCACCTGAACTTTCAATGAGTATCCAATCACAATGCCAAAATCGTGTATGCACCCCAGTGAGCTTCGACTTCGATTCACCCTCCTTGAACTTCACCCCGGTGAACGCTGTCTCGATATATAGCTCACCTTATATCGACAAACACTGATATTACCCAGCTGTCAAATTCTTAGACCTACCCGCCTGCAACATCGGACGATAGTATTCATTCAGCAAAGTCAAGATACACGATTTATGTGTAAAAATATTCTCCGTTAATTCATTTCATCCATTAAAAACCCTTATACAATCTACCTCTTTCTCGTTTGTCTATCCCAGAAACCCCATCCCATAATTACAAATATCATATCGTCTTAACATAAACCCTAGCAATGCCATGCGAATCCCAATAAATATGCTCACACCGAACGATCCAACAATTCATATCTATCTTTCCCACTGACTCTTCTCCAAAGAGCCATTCCCCTCCTCGACGACTTGCCCGATCGCACCACCCACATATTCCACGCCAACCACAGAAATCCACCTACAACTCCCGCGATCGCGAAACCCGCGACGGTAAGCAAGAACCAATGTTTGCCCATCCAGAAAATCGTCTGTGCGTCTTTTCCATGCCAGCTATTGCCTTTGACGATGTTGAAGAAACTCCATGCGTGTTTGTTGTATTCGTCTGGCATAAGATTACGCACGCGGCCTGCTTCGTCGGTAACGGTTCGCATGTATTCAATCCAGAGGACTGAGAGGAAGAGCGGACCGGTGCTGTACATGACGGTGATGTATGGCATGCCCCAGTTTCTGTTATATGCTTGGAGAGATTCGATGACGCGGAGGAAGAAGGGATGTTGAGGGACGGATCCCATAGCATCGTTACTGATTCCGGTGGGGATTGTTCTGCGCAACCAGGCAGGATAGCTGAGGAGGGGATCAAGACGTCGTTTACAGCCGTCGTCGAGATCAATGTATATTCCACCGTAATGTGCTAATACGAAATAGCGGATAGAATCTGCGCGTTGGATTGGGAAGGGGTAGCTGTCGAATGTATCGAGGAACCAAGGATATTCCGTTGCAATGAAAGCTCTTGAGGCTTCATCTGTCCATAGCTGCAACAAATTAGCATCTCATTCCTGTTCTCTTTTCCCCGTCAACTAAAGTAAACATACCTTATATTCATAATCATCATGTAATTCAATACACGATTGTTGTCCCGCCTTCCATCGCTCAGGAATCGACTCGTTGATATATGTCTGATGAATGATTTTCGGAATAAGCTGTGTGCGATTCTCAATCAATTCGGAACCTGGAGCAGGTATTTCGGAGCGGTGAATAGCATCTGCAGCTCCATCTATGAAGAGTAGTGATATGAGGGTGCTGAAGGCATTTACAAGGAAACCAATTACTATAAAATTGATCACCAGGAATAGAAGAGTACCACGCCTCATGGTAAGGTTGGGCAAAGAATCGAGGATATTAAAAGCTTTTACCCCAAGGGCTTCAATTTTTCGATTATATTGTAGTTATATCGAGTGAGGGTTGCGATGAAGTTGTTCGATAAGGGGTCGTAGGTAAGGGTCTCGAGATAACGGAGGGGTCGATTAGAGAATTGTAGGTTACTCTGGGAGAGTAAGAATCGAGGAATTTCCAAAGTCAGCTACGGCATCTGTTAAAGGAGTGTTGGTAGGTAGGTAATATTGAAGTTGATCGTAGGATTTCCAAAGGACAGGACCAGACTGTTTTCAAAATTTATCAAGAAGATGTTTCTGGTTGAATAAATAGAAATTAATTAATAAATTTCACTAATGGTAAAAAGTAGACCTGGAAGTGAAAGGGGAAATTAATGCATCCACACGTGTATGCACAGAGATAGGGATAAGAAGTGATTTGGTGGGACAAAGAATTTCGTATTTCGTATTTTGTAGACAATCCTGTGACAGAAACCTCAAATTATACCAAGAAATCAAAGAAAATCCAATTAAAGTATAGTATTGAAAAGGGCTAGACGTATAAATGAAGTAGGTAGAATGTCAACAGTGAAGGTTCTACTGGAGTCCAGATTAGATGGGATTCGAACAAGTGAGAGATACAAAATTATAAGTTGAGCAACCAACGTGATTCAAAAATGATTTACTATTTCGCATGGAATGATCTATAACACTACCTAGGCCAACTTACGTTAGTCGGGGGGAGAGGGGGCATTGTTGAAGACCTATAATGTCTACCGACATAATACTGCTGCTAGCTCATTAGATACCTAGTATGCGTGTATCGGACTATTAACAAAAGCCGGTTTACACATGTCTGAACATTAGCTCTGTCTGCATACACGGAACGGACATATTTGAAGATTTCCATCCGATATCACAATCCCCCACACTCTTAATCTACAAAATCTAGAAACCCGCCACCCCTTTCCAAACGCTATACGCACATCTACCTCCGCCTCCGCTCACGCCACAATATCGAAATATCAGAAGACATCTTCACCCAAGACCCCAAGACCCAAGCCTTCAAGCCTCGAATTCTTATTTCAAGATCTTGATGTCATTATTCCAATCATTCTAATTGCTGATTTCCGTCTAAACATTCCATATACCAGTATTACTTATCATTTTCTTGATTCTCGTCAAGCAAAACATGGGTTGATGTTTCCCCAACAAATACTAACCTCAGCGTATATTCATTCCGTTTTAGATACAAGCATCAAAACATCTACATAGTTAGCAATTATGGGATCCCTACTCAGAGAAATAGAGACTCAAGATCACCTAAATCTGATCTTTAAGAATGCACGATGCAAGTTGCAAGTTTGAGAAGACATTACAGCGAGAACGTCTGTCTCGCAACTTGATGTAAGATACCAGTACAAGATCTAGTCTCAACACAACAAATATGAATTTTCTTTTCACACCCTAAACCTCCTTCTATATTCTTCCCTTATCCCCGCAAAATCCTGCGCAAGACACCGGTCCACTCAATACACTTACCTCCACCAGCTCGCGCGATGCTATTTTAGCCCCACTTCGCAAGACAATAATTCGTATACCATATCAGTTCAAAGACAATGCAATCGCTCTTCTGACCAGGCGATGGAGGCCGACGGTGCGAAAAAGCATTCATATATGCTACACGCTGTTGCAATTCTGCAAGTGCAGAGAGCGCTAGGTGTCTGGGTGAATAGGCTGTGCTCCAGATGGCTTGCGCTTCGGCGGCTTAAAATGAGTTTGATATGTCGACATGGCAAAGGAAGACGATGGAGCCTGCATGATTGGGATCAAGTGGAGCTATGCCGTTGTAGAGTTTGGCGGTTGTGGTTGGAGTGGAGAGGGATGCGCGAGTTGTCGGAAGCGGGAGAGGACGAGAAGGTTAGCACGGGAGAGATCTTCTCATAGCTAATTATCTGAATCTGGGGATGTAAAATCAGAGATAGGGTGCGGAAGTCCGACCTATTCGGTTAGTGAGGGGGGGGGAATGGATAGCTAAATTTCCAGCCTGTACCGCATAGCAGCGTGTCAATCAGTATGAAGATCCGTTCATCGAGGAGTATGCTGTGTGGTGCGAGGAATTCGATGTCCTGGCGATAGATTTGAAAATTTTGGGCAGTTGCACCTAGAACTCATCATGCTGCGCCAAGCCTACAGGGCCAGGGAACCAGAAAATCCTACACATAAGTATCAGACAGGAATATTACAGTAAGCAAGATAGAGTACTCACGAGGTAGTGAAGTCAAGCAATGGAAAAGATGGTGAATCGCAACATACTGACTGTCCTAGGCCAGGAAAACTGCGGGATTAGTGGAAGTTCTAGAGGCAGATGTAGATTAGTTAAATGGGGATGAAATCTCTTGCATATGCTGAAAAAGTCAAGGTGGATCAAAGAGTCTTTGCAACATTCCGCTTCACGTCCAAGATATAGTCAAATAGCCGACTGGGCAAAGGGGGACCCGTTAATACTATCAGCTACCAAATGGATTTGCAACCACGTTGAATCAAATATTCCCACAATCCTGAATTTCACAACATCATCCACAACAGAAGCTATGATCCTTCTACACCTCCTATGTAATTCAAATGCCATCAATTTATCAGCCCATCCCTCTCCCAATTAAAATTCACGAGTTTGGCACTCGGCATTCAAATTCCTCATACACTTCTCCTTATAGATATCAAATCACGTTGTATTATCCAAGCCAAAATTGAAAAATCACAACTGAAATTCGAATCAAACGCAGCTTCAGTCCCCTAACCCTCTTTAATCTTTGTTCGGCCGAGACAGTCTAGAGACTAAATAATGTCGCTCAATCTACTCAACAAGGGATCCCCTATCCTATCTCCCGTCCTATCATTGAGTCATTGTGGGAGAATGTTCTCTCAATGAGCTTGCAATAAATCACTCATCACTCACATCATAACTCTCTACCCTTCAATCTCAAACTCGCATCGCGGACTCAGTACCTAACATTGAGCTCCGTGACATTTACTGCGACAAAGGTGCCTTTTCAAGAGTGCGAAATCTGTAGTGTGCAAACATGGAAATATGTATGCACATACATTGTAAGTCGCACAAGCTAAGTACAAATAGTAAGCGTAAGATTACATGATTTTCCGGACTACTTACGCTTGCCAGTTCTAAGAAATGTAGAGTAAAGATTTTGATAACCTCACAGCATTGACAAGAGGTATTTATTCACAGCATTCAATGAATTCACAATCCTATCTCTACGTCATACTCAAACCCGGCATACTCCCGGGCATAGAATATTCATCTCTCCCCCTACTTTTCCTCCTAAACCTCAAACCATTCTCACTCCCCTCATCCGGCACATCCAAACTAACCCCCAACCTACTTCTCCCCACTCTAACCCCCGTTTCAGCCTCAACCTCCTTCCTAGCCTCCTCCCTCAAATCCCTCTCCACATCTCTACTCCTCGCCCTCCCAATACCCCCCGCATCAGACCCCGTATCCAAATCCTCTCCCCCCTCGTATTCTTCTTCCTCGGCCACATGCTCGGAAGTTCAATTTGTTGAAAACGCGGTTCTACACAGCGCTCGTCAAACCAAGTATGTAACCTCGCCTCAATCAACTGCGCAATTTTCGGCACATCTTGCAATCTCGATCGACTTCCCACCAAGCTACGTATCGAAAGATCCAATCGATAATCATCCAGGAAACAGAACGCCAGCGTCGTAGGACTCCCATTCAACGGACTTCCCGGGACAAACGAAATAGACAAAGTCCCACTAAACCTCACGACCGAAACCGCCAACGCCACCGGCAACACCGCAACCAGCGGTTTTGGATAATTCAGCAGCAACTTCGTTTCCACCGCCAACGTGATAAAATCACTCAAATCTACATCCATCCTAGCCTGTAACCTGCCATGCTCTCTCCCCGCAGCCCCTCCTTCCCTCCCCAACGTCATCCCATCCTCATCCACCGGAATAACCCTGCAGTTACTGAAAATCGGAAAATCCTCTCCCAGACTCAATTCCGTGACTTTGATCTCATCCAGGAAATCAGGGCGACTCCCCCCATTCAAAGCCTTCGTTAGACTAGTGAGAATCGCATCATCATGCTGAGCATCCGCGCGAAATTGTGCAATCGTCTGTGCGATCAATACGTTGAACCAATCTAAACTTTCCGGTTGATGACTATCCACATTGTAGTATGTTTTACTCAGAATAGCATTGGTAGTCAACGGCGCTGGGTTCCTCAGAACGCTAGAGCGTTTGCGATTGAGAGGTTGGGAAGCATGGCGTGGTGTTGAGCTGCGGAGAGTGAGGAGAGATCTTTTGTGTGCGAGGGTTCTAGAACGGCGCTCTGTAGCTCGGAGAGCAGCGGATACATCTGGAGAGGGAGGATCGCCAAAGATGAAGAATTTGATGAAAGCTCCGATGAGGATGACGATCGAAAGCTGGCCTAATAGTAGTCCTTGGGTAAATGAGAGTCTGCGAATATATATTAGTGTAAATCCATTCGAATTGACGTCCTCAGGAAAGTAGCAAGGGAAGAAGAACGAACGAGGATTCAGCCTTGTCCGGAATGGGAGCCGGGATTGTCATCTTAGTTATGCGATTGAAGTGCGAACTTCATGTGAATAAGATGTGGAATAGAGGAAGAAACAAAGAAAGAATCATGAAGCTCTAATGATTGACATATTATAACCAGAAGCTTTGCTATCTACTTGTACTCCGGTGACATATGAGGTAGCTAGCTTAAAATACTGCCGTAGCTCAAATGCGGGATGTGTTTGTATTTGGTTTTCTCCATTTCGGAAGCGACGTCATTCAGCCCTATCAATTGATACTACCAAAAAAAGTCCAAACCAAAGTCATGAAAGATCTTGTACAATTGACATCAGATATCGGCATTGATTGTATTGTCGATTTATCTGTGATTAAGTAATTGATTGTACGCTACCAGACTAGATGCCGTCAATTCTGCCATTACTTGCTGAAGGATTCCTTTTCACCATGATTTCTATTTGATATATACAATCCATTCAGAGGTTTCCTTGTCTCTTTAGAGACCGAAGAGTGTATACAACCCCCCAAAAGTCATATCATTGTCACACACACGACTTAAGTATATTAACATACTTTTAAGATTCCTAAAACACTACGAATTTCTATTATCCATTGCTCATGAACGCATTGTGTCCCATACATACGCCATGACTCAGAAAATCTCAGACCCTAGAAGTTATGCATAAGGTTGAAAGGTGTGTAAAAGAAGACCGGCTTGTCAAGAATCTCTGAAAATTCTTTCCATCTAACGTACGTCAAACAATAAAAAGTGTATAATACAAATATATATCTCCAAGCTCCGCCCCCATTTCCCTCGATTCAGATGTGAAGATTGGCTACAGAGAGCCGTCTTGTCGAGGCCGTCAGTCATTTTCTAGATCGTGCTTCATATTCTAGATTAAAAGCATTCAAAATGAAGTACTATTGATGGGTTATATTGCTAACCCATTTGATTAAGAGTGCCAGCACATGTTTATGCCTTTGCAGCATCGCGATTGCTCTGGGAGCTGGCGCTCATGACTGGTTGTGTTGTGGGAAGGATGTTTCCCTTGGATTGGTTTTGTCTAACCTTTGCCCAGGCATAAACGATACCACTGACGAAACCGATGAAGATGGCAGATACACTTCCGAATGTAACAGGGGCTGCGAAGAAAACGAGACCACTGACAGCGATTGGCAACTTGTTGAGAGCACCAACCATCGAGTAGGTTGTGGAGGAAGTGACACGGATACACCAAGCAGAGCAGTATGAGATGAAGATAGTAGCAAGACCAGAGTAGACCATGCCGAGAATGAGGTTGTTTCGGGTCTCGAGTGGGAAGTTCTTGCTGAGGTTCTCGGATGACCAGTTTTCGAAAATGAACGAGCAAACGAAGAGGACAGGGATGGTGAGGAGATTGTTGTAGAACATAGCTAGAACAAAATTAGAATTGAAGAGGAAGTTGCAATTGCATGGAAAAACTTACTGTCCCAATCCTTGAAGTTCATCTTCTTGATAACCTTACGCATAGACAAAACGTATGCTGCAGTGCAGAAAACGTTCATACCCATCCACGCATATCCAGCATTCAATGTGGAGAGAGCAGCAGCAGCCTCTGCGGATTGTGCAGCACCACCTCCATACAAAGCGTGTTGAATATCAGCCCAAGCAGCAACGACGGAACTGAGAACCATAAGACCGAATGAGAAGAGAGCTGAAGGAGTGACGCTTCCTCCAAACCACAAAACCTCACCATATGCGATCACAATGATTGTCAAGTTCTTGAAGATTGTGTAAACGGGAACGGAGAGGAATTGAAGAGCTTTTGTACTGGTGTAGATCATGCCGACGAGAAGAAGTGAGATAGGAAACCCTAATCTATGTTAGCCACCAAATTCGCTCCGTCAGGAATACAGATACTGACATGTTTTCGCCTTCTTGGTGTCGAATGGTGCAAGATTTGTGATCAATCCCGCTTGCTTGCAGATGATAATCGCAATGATACATACAACAGACTGCTGGCGTTAGTCAAGATCAAGCAGAACAATGGCATTCAACGCATACCTGAATAGCGAGATAGAAGAAGTTCAAATTCCAGTTTGAACCCGAGACGCAGTACTTATTGGTCACGGTCATAGAAATCGATGCCAAACAGTAGGCAAGAATGGAGATTCCTGGACTATTCGTAACATTGGAGAGGTCAAAGGCAGAATTTCCTCTTTTGGCTGCTACCCCTGGCTTGGCCAGAAAAGGATCGCGTTGAGATGGAGATGAACGCCCATTGAAATTGCGCATCTCGAGATCTTCGTTCTTCTTGTCATCCATGATTGCGATTGTTCTCAGTGAAAGAAATGGAATTTCTTATCGTGGTTCTGATGGTAGAGATGCGCAAAAAGAGAGGTAAGAATTTAGGGATTCGTAATCGGTCGGAGCTTCGTTAATAGATGCCCGTTAGATAATGTCTAGTTGTCGAAATGAAGAGACTAAAGATTAAAAGAGGATTCTGCAAATGAACTCCAAATGTCCTCGATCAGGTACGAGTAAGGAATACCTAATGAGATGAAAAGAAAGAAAGAAAGTGTTGAATATGGAGTTTAGAAAATTATGGTAGAGAGGACAGCCAGACCGAATCTTTAATCGTTTTAGTACAGGGGGCTTAAGATTGGGTGTAAGAAATTCTGTGTGGGGGATAAAAATAGTTCAGCAGCAATACGAATCAACTCGCCAGTCAGTTTTGACAAGAATCCACCCTTTGGTACGTGATCTACCAAAAAGGGGACCAACCAGGTGAAAATTCTGGAGAAGAGGCTCAATACGTTTTCGTAGTCACTCACAAGATTTCCATCTCAGAAATTCAAAGGGAAGTCGAAGCCAGGGGTAAAAGCAAGGACCTTTCGATTCTTGCAGTCACTTAAACGAGACCTTACTTGCGTACCCGTGGATTTGGATACAATTAAATTCACTACGTGAACAGAACAATTTCTAGCAAGAAGTCACACTTCTGGTCATAAGCTATTTCGTTGCATACAAGCGTTTGCAACAAGCGTGTCCCGGTGTAGGCAGGCAGTCCAACACAACGTTTTACCAGACCTCTTGAATCTGTTTCTTGATCATCATGTCGAATACACTTGATCCTCTCGTCGCAAAGGTGCTTGATCACGCCGATTCCGATGACGAAGATGCTGTGAGTGTTTAATTTCATTGTGTTCATTCCACTTGTCTATCGACGAAGTTGTCACTTAGCTCTCAAATTTAAGCCAAGAATTCAGTACATGATTTGAGTATCTAGAGGACAAGTCTCTCTTTTACTTAATCTCATGCTGGAAATGTCGAGTCATCTATCTATCTACCTAGCAGCCATGCCCTCGAATACAAAACCACACATGCCTTCACGTTCTCAAATATACATCCCTCCATCCATCTCTCCCCTCTCCCCAAGCTCTCCCCCTCACTCTTCTAACACCCTCTCAGCTCATCGCTTCCCTCGAAGAAGACCCCGCCGTCGACGCCTTCCGCGAACAACGCCTCCAACAACTGCACAGCGAATTCACGCGAGCCAAATCCCAAAAAACCCAAGGCTTCGGCTCCTACACCGAAATCAAAGAAGAAAAAGCACTCATGGACCTCACCGCCTCCGTCAAATACGCCGTGGTCCATTTTTCCAAAGATGATTTCGCCCGTTGTGGTGTGATGGATACTCATCTTTCCGTACGTCTCTCTTCCCTCTTCTCCCAATTTCCATAAACTTTATCACGAGAGCTAAAAACAAAAATTCAAACAAAATAGACACTAGCACCCAAACATCTCGACACCCGATTCCTCAAGATCGATGTCGAAAACGCACCATTCCTCGTCACGAAATTAAATGTGAAAATCCTACCATGTGTTCTAGTATTCATAGACGGTCGATCCGTCGACCGAATAGTTGGATTCGAAGGCTTGGGATACACGCCCGACACATTTACCACGAAAGATTTGGAAGCAAGACTCCTAGCCTCAGGCGTTATAAAACGTCAAACCACGGCCGGAACACTGTATCTTGATAAGAAAGCCAAGAGGCAGGAAGAGGAAGATGATGATGATGACTGGGATGATTGAGGACGAGGAATAGCTGTGAAAATGTTATTTGAGCAAGTGAATGCAAGTACTTCGTACATATTTTTCTCAATCGAAGCTAGATATCATGAAAGGATGTTCCCTCCTCATGCTGAATTGCATCTCCGAAGCCCCACGACGATAGATCTTCGTTGGATCATAAGAATGATCATATGAATCAAAGAAAATCATGAGGGATCTGAAAGCAAAGCTCGGAGGCCAATTTCGCTTGATATACAATATTTATGCTAGGAGAAACATTCTTCTGGCTTATACCTAGAAGTATTCAATCACAAATTTCAGGGAACACCGGATGCAAATTTTATTTCCCCCGCTTCCATCTCCATAATCAATGAGTTTTGCATGATAAGTTTAATCAACGAAACAATCGTATATCATTAGAGTAGGTAGCTCACAGCTACATTAAAACTTGACCAAAGCAAATTCGCTTGCAGACAATACCCATAAGTACTTCCACCAGAAGTACGCACCCACTACCAGGAGAGAATAATATGTGATGGTCCAGAGAATATTCAACTCCCCATTATTCTCCATGACGTCTTCACTCTTCTTGCTAGCTCCCACATCCGGACCAATAATAGTTTCTCCATCCACCAAACTACTAATCTTTCCCCAAAATCGTGGGAACCCCATCCAGTTACAAAAGGCATGCACACATATCACCGCCAACAAGCTCCCAGTTCGGAGATACAGAAATGTAGCGTAGCCTCCAAATAACGTCGTGTAGGAGAACTGTAGTAGGGAGCGAAGAATAGCTCCTACCATTGGGCCATGCGGATGTGTAATTCTATATTCGTAGAAGTGATGCACATGGGCTAGTCCGAAGACGACGGGGGTAAGGAATATAATTGTAGTATTGGAGGTCTTGGAGAGGAGGAGGAGGGGTACGGAGGCAGATCTGAAGAGTACCTCTTCTGTTACGGGACCCTTGAATAACTATCAGTTATATGCCACAACGAGAGAACATCTAGTAAAACTCACAGCAACAATATTCCTATAAGGAATCCAACCCTTCAAAGCTCCCAGTCCCCTCAAACGAATCCAATCGCGCCATTGTCCCTGCGCAATCCCTTCTTCAAACAGAGGTCCCGCAAACAGTATAGCAGTCAAACCTACACATTTGACCGTCTCGAGAAATCCAATGGGAAAATAGCCCATCAAATGGAGGGATTTCACTGCATCTCCATTCTTTACCGAAGACAAAATTCCAAATGTGCCAATACATACAACGACACAAGAGAGAGTGACCGAACGAATTCGTCCGCGGATAACCGTCGGTGCATCGCGAGAGAGCTGGGGTGAAGGACGGGTAGTCGAAGAGAGATAGAAGGGGATTACGTAGATGAGTGTATAGAGTACCTGGAATTGTGAGTGTTTGGACTAGATGCTTGGAATAATAGGCAAGGAGGTGTCATACCAACAGAGAAACCGCCGTGGTGGTACTAAATGGGGGAACTTCTTCCTCTGGAATGGAGCTTTGGTTAGCTGGGTTGTCCATGATTGATAATCTGCGTGCATGATCTTGCAGATGGATGCGAAAGGGTTCAAGGAAATACCAACCCTTTTCACCAGTATAAAGTGCCTTCAAGCGACTATATATCCCAGTGGGTGCCATGGATGCGGAGAGTATTCGAGTGGTGCAGGTATATATGTACCGGTATATTAAAGCACCCAGAATATCTTCATCCGATCTTCTGGATCCTCAGTAGATCAATAAGCGCAAGGATTATGTACCAAGATGAAGATCTAGAGAGATGAAAGGTATGCGAGTCTTGCGAATGGAATGCAAGTCTGTGAGTTGGTTACAAATTCGAAAGCCTTGTGGCTCGCTCGGCATTGTAGAGATGGGAATATATGATGATGCGAGGAAATGTTGGATTGTGGAGTAGAATCAGTCGATGGACAGACAGGGGCTGAGAGCATAACTTTGACAATCATTATGTGTTGAATGAATGGAATATGAAGTGAAGCGTTAACAAGGGAATCTTACTTTCACATTGTTCCATTTTAGTCAGATCTTACAATTGTTCTATTTATTCATCCAAAGTTTATTTTTCATACCATCTCTTATGAATATGAAATATTGTTTTTACTACAGAGGAATTTAATCTTTCATTGATCATATGGGAAATTTCGTGTTTCATGCTTCCATAATTATCTTATCGATAGTAACTATCATTATTATCACACAGGACAGGACTTTTCGCAATCTATCGTCAATCAATTGAGCGATGCAGTTCTGATATGAAAATTACCCAAATTTATGGCGACGGGACAGGCTTAGCTAACCTTTGCTCTAGATTCTCCGCGGTGCGATAGAGGCGCATAACTACCAGGTAGTCTGGACAAATTACGTGTTGCAAGGGATGTGTAGGAGTTGGAAGTGGAAGGTTCAGTCTTCGAGGGAAGAAACGTACCGGCGATCTACAGAATAAGGAGGAACAAGGACAAGTCCTGTAAAACACCGGACTCACATGCTAGGAGTATTCTCCGTGGAGAGAGCGTTATGTGATTATCAAAATTACAGAGAGGAGGGAGGACTTTGTCCCGCAGCTTCCTGTGTCGCGTTCGAAGCGTGATAGAATCGTGTTGGGTTATTTATTTTTAGGCATTTAGAGTTTTAGGGAGTCTCTGGATCTATCAACCTATCAATCCATCAAGCCATCAATCATGTATGGTATACAGATGACAGACGTGAACTCAATTGATGACAGAACTTTACCTACCTCGAGAGTCGAGTCTACCACACAAAAAGTTAAGAGGGAAACCTTATGCACACCATTTGTTTACTGAAGAGCTTTTTGCTTGTCTCGAGGTTGTCTAGACGGCCAAGCGAGACTCAGTCCAAGCTTCATCAATGCTTGCTTGCTTGGAAACGGAAATGATTCAAATGAGATGGTGAGCTTCCGGATCCACTATCGAGAATCATCGATGCTCCAACCCTGGTCAGAGATGGAGAAGATGTTTTCCTGGAGGTTGGATCTGCTGCTTTGTTTCTTCCATGAAAAACCCGTTTTGCATGACGATGAGTAGCGCGAGCTTAATGAGAAGCATGAAAGATTTCAGATGAACGAATAAACTCTGGAACTATTGGAAGGAATGGAAGATGATTGAAAGTTATCGATTACCCCTTTCCATAGCCACGCGCGCGTCCAATTGCAACGCGCTTTCTCGATTGATCTTGTCTCATATACGACCGCACAACTTCTTGCATCAGACTCATCATACGTTTGGAATGCCTCTGTGTACATCGTGTGTGTCCCGTCTCCGTGTGGACTATGTACGATTTACTATGTACGCCGCATGTACTCTCGTACTTGCTCCCTCCAAAGGTAAAACGATGTAGAAACCCGTTCCCCCTGTCGCGTGCAGATAATTCTGGACAATCTCCCCATCCATTAGACGCGCCATCAGCCACCTTACCTTGAACGGCATGGCTTATGCAAATTTCTGCAGTGGTATGCAGTCAACGGTTCCTTTTGCATGGCATTAAATTAGAGCCTTTCCAGCCTGTCGAATCGTTTCCCTTCATTTTGGGGGCACCGACAGTAGTCTTTACATGTTCGCTGCACAGTGCATACCTCCTGCGTGCATTGAGATTTGCACTTGCGTCTAATGTCTAATTCAGGATACATTTTGATCGGAGTATAGGACCAAGGGATCCTCTTTTGACCAGAGGATTTGTCTATGATTGACTGATTAGATGTGTGGAACTCTCCCATTCGGCCTCTTTGGCTTCACTCTGCTATTTGTGGCTGCCACGCTGTCTATCTGTTCATCTTATTTTCCTCATCTAATCCCACTACTTGGTGGCTACTAACAGCTAGATGGACGGATAATACCTAGGAATCGCTTGTCGGAAGAGCTTCTCCAAGGACACAAGGTATAATATTACGGATTGACGGTACGCTAAAATTCTAGACATGGGCCTTGGAATTGGAGACCTACCATATCTTTCCAAGGTTTAGACAAAATCCTTACATTATCCTCCGTAGTCAGCGGTGAAAAAGCTGGCTACCTAGGTATGGCTGTCGAATATGAAATTTTATGTACCGTCGCGATGAGTTGTACATTTGGTATAGACCTCTGATATCCTCTCGTTTCCCCCTCTTGCTCTTGATCTCTTTCTCGACCCTTTTCCATCTATCTTTGTCTTTGCGTTTTGCTCCGGGATCAATCAATTGACTCCTTACACTCTTTTTCTATATACTTAGCCTTAATACCGGGACCATTCTCGCCTTTTGATTTCTCACTCATTACCACACATACAGTGCGACGACGATACAATAAAGTTAATCCTATTATTTCTACTCTTTTCGAAACCAATCGCTGCGCAATACAATCAACTACGAACGATAGACATATATTAAACATTCATTCAGAAGGAAACAAACACGAAAGATTCAAATACGGGACGAACTACCAACTCACTACTGTCGCAGACATAGCACTCATTACAATACTAGCAAACACGTTGCGATTGCGATTAAGCATCAACTTCAAGGGAGGTCTCAAGAAGGAAACAAGGAGAATACGAACAAAACTCTTAACACCAAACAAAAAAAAGAAAGGCATTTACGAAGGCATTTAAGAATTTATTTGGGCGCATGGAGACACAATATGCGTCTGATTTAGAAGAATTTAGTTCGGGATGTCAAACTCTCCTTCAAGAAGGCCTTTGCATACAAGGTACGCGCAAACTTACTACCGTCATCCTATCTAGATTCTTAATAGTTTCCCTCACCTTAATTGGTTTTCCTCGCTCACTATCGCAAAAGATCAGATTCAGAGACGAATCGCTCAGCAGCGGTCCGATTGGTTCCGCCCGAACCCCCTCAACTTTTAAGACAATTGGAGGATGATGAAGGAGAACAAGCGAATGATTATTATCATGAGAATGATTTCAATAATAAGAATGATGATGATGATGATGACAAAATTTATTCACGATCTCCTCTTCCCACCCAGTCAGCTCATATTCTTTCTCCTGGTCATTCTATTGGCAAAGGTCAATATTTCTATGGTAGGCAAGGTTCCAGCCCCGATTCAGCCGAGTTTCACCAGATGCCCAAAACGCAACCACTGCCAGCCACTCCTAGAGGCACGTCCACCGCAACGCATAACACGCCTCAAATTACTACTCCTGCGACACGCTCCTCAACGAGGCCCAGACCCCAGTCAAGAAAGCGACTTGTTGTCAAGGTTGGGGACGGAAAGACATTTTCCCTCGTACCCCAAGATGAACTACTACCCAACGACGACGGTACCTCACAGTCATTATCCACTAAAACATCATCATCCTCTGTACAAGATTTGGATCATTCTATCACCTCATGCACCAATACCGACTCCACATACACAGCCGCACCTAGTGAGGCAACACCTAGGAAGTCAATATCTGCAGATCATATAAGCTGTTCATCCTCGGAGTTCTCGATTGTGGGTGGTGTTCGAAAAGTTCCCAAAACACCAGAAAAGGGAAAAGGTCCAGCGTTCGATTATCCTCTTCCTCCTTTGCCAGAAACTTCAGACGGACCAGAGCCCCGCTTCCACGATCTTTCCACCAAACCATCATTCATTTCAACAGCCTCAACTGCAAGCGAGGGCACTAATTGGAAAGTTTACAGTCATATTCCAGAATCGCCGACTTACGAATCTGTCTTTACTGCAACTCCCACCCAACCTAATTTTGAAGTTCTCGACGGTCAATCCGTGCTTGAACAGTCCACTCCTTCAACAACTATCTATCATCCGCGCGAAGCGTCAATTCAAGAGTCATTTCAAGAGTCATTTCAGGATTCAATTCAAGAGTCAGTTCAAGAGTCAGTTCAAGAGTCAATTCCAGAATCAGTTCAGGAATCAGTTCAAGAATCGATCCCGGAATCAAATCAAGAATCTACAGGGACTGTAATTCACCGACCCCAAACATCTCAAACTTCGTCTGCGAGCACCTCGGATAATTCTAATTACCAAATTCACGAAGAATCTGTCTCTGGCTCAGTCATCTATAGGCCACAGCATCGACCCCAGTTATCTACCAGCACTTCCGGCTATTCGACTTCGAACTATCCCAACTCGAACTATCAAATACATGAGCCGGACACTCCAACTTCAGTAGTCTTCAGACCTCAACATAGACCTCAGTTATCTACAAGCACAACTGGTGATAATACTAATTACGAAATTCATCGTGGCCGTACCCGAGAACGCTCTGAATCAATTGCCGATTCCTTTCTTGCAGCATCATTTTCTAGTGGCTCCAATTACCGCGTACATCAACACTCTGATATAGATTCAAATTCATCAGTTGTCCACAGAACTCGAGCTCGAGCAGCAACTACTTCTTCTAGCGAACACGAAAATTACGTATTCCACGAGGACCTATCCAGATCTATATCTCTTTCGAGTGGTCAGGGCCCAGCACCTAAGTATTCCCAAGAATCTCTTCGCATTCCTGCCCTCAGAACAAAAAAGAGATCGAACGATAATTTCGGCTACTACAAGTCAAGATCGCGAGAGACATTAAAATCGAGATCAAATCACTCGCTACGAAGTGCAGCACACAGTCGAGCTAATTCACTAGCGTCGTTATCAACAATTCACACACAACCCGACGCACAACGAGCAATCGTGGCGAGCGGATCATTAGTTAATTTATCCGCTCACGCTCAACTCCAAAAGCCAAAAGGATTGAGTTCATGGGCAGAGTTGCCAAGCCCCACGAGTCCCCATATGATCGAGACTCCGCATCAATGGAGCTCACAGCTATCGACTGTGCTCTCCGTATCCGAGGGAACCGGCACCGAACGCGGTTCGCAAGCTTGGTCCGACAGCATGGGAAGAAGGAGTGTATTCGGTCTACCCAGTCGCGGCAGTCGCAATGTTCTCAGTATCAGTTCGTCGCACGGAATCGAAGATGCCTTATCAAGATCGAGAAGCGAATCTGTGGACCCTCCACGTCCGGCTTGGACACGCACTGGTCGAGGTCTCAGCATCTCGTCTATTCCTGTTATAGGTGATCAAGATGAATATGGTGACGGAATCACCGCTATGCAAGATCTGCGCACTCGTCCATCCAGAAATAGATTATCCGGCATGTTCAATGCTGGAGCATCTGATACTTCCCGTACACACACCATGCGCTCCTCAATAAGCACCCGCTCTAACAGTTTCCTCGCAAACTCAATCCCAACGTGGGCAAAACTCTACTATGGAAGTGGAGAGCGTCGCTATCTAGGCTACAGACCCGAGAGCTCTAACGGCGGAACCCCAAGTCGCAACGGTTCATTCAGTTATGGAAGTGGTTCCCCCAATACAGAAAACTTCCCAGATGAATTGTATAGTCCCCGTCGTCGTCCACGAGAAGGCCATCCACATATGCGAGGCTTCTCCCAACAATCTATGGAAATCACCCCTGTACCCAGCGCAGCCCAAGGCAATGGCGCTCTCAGAACCTGGTCTCTTATTTCCAGCGTCTGGTCTCCACATCTCCGTACCGATCGTCGGGCTGCTCGTCAATCTGTCTGGGAACCTCCGCAAATCAACTTCTCAACCGAGGGCGGTTTTTTCGGCCGTCGTAACATCCAAGTCGTTCTCTTCATTACCGGATTTCTCCTCCCTTTTACCTGGATGATCGCCGCTTTTCTCCCTCTTCCCACAAAGCCCGTCCAAGAGATGCGCGAACGCGAAGATAGTACCGGACACCTCACACAAGCGCGGGATGTAGAAAGCCGCGGCAACAATGATTATGTCAAGGAATTTGGCCCGTTGGATGAGGCACGGTATGAGAGTGCGAGATGGTGGAGGAATCTGAATCGTTGGATGAGTGTGGTGGGATTATTGATTATTGCTGCTATTGTAAGTTTGACACGTCTATTTTTAATTTGGTGAATAGAAGGCTAATATATATCAGATCATCCTCGCTGTCATTGGTACCCGAGAGGGATGGTAATTCCATCCTAATTCGCAGCTTAATCATATTCACCTCCTCACTTCATCCCTCGCTTTCCATTTTCCACCACCCTCACCTCACTCCTCACCTCATATCCTCACAACGACACCCCGGACCCACGGCACACGGCACAGATATAACGACTCCTTGTATATTAGAGTAGAGCCCTCTACCCCCTCTCTAATAATGATTCTTACGACCAAATAACGACTCTTACAACAAACAGATGGGTCTAGACTTTTTTTTCACTTTACACTTTTTATTTTTATTTTTAGCGCGCGCAGATGATATATTAGCATTATACCCTTTCTTTACGGAAAGAAAAAGCTTGCTTGCTTGCATGTATGTATGTATGTTGGATAATTTTTATTATTGATGATGGTTGGGAAAAGGAAGATGCATAGGAAGGAAAGGGATGACACAGGACCTGCCATGCGATGCGATGCGATGGCAAAGGCGATGATGGCGCTATGTGTGCTTGCTT